CTTGGGCCCTGCACCCGCATGGGAGACCAGGAGAAGCACCTGGCTCCTGGCTTCGGATCAGCGCAGTGCACTGGCCGTAGCGGCCATTGGGGGGTGAATCAACGGAAAAAAAGGAAGACCTTTCTCTCTGTCTCTCTCTCTCTCACTGTCCACTCTGCCTGTCAAAAAAATTAAAAAAAAAAAAAGAACAAGAGATCAAAGACAGAGGAATAATTATCTGGAAGAAGCTACAGGAAAATGATTCAATCTCCAATTTTATACCCAGCTAAACTACTTTTCAAGGATTTCACTCAGAAAGCAGCAAACTGAGTGTTATACAAAGATGAAGACAATGTGCTGTGATAAGAAACGGAAATGCTGTTTTGATAATGTTTCAAAGAATAAGTGGTACAGCGCTGAGTTGAGGCTCTTGGTAGCAGCCTGCGTGGCTTTTGAGAACCTGTGTTTGCAGCGGCTGATAGTGCAGAGGATGAGCTCTGGGTAAAGGCGCCCCTGACTGCTTTCTTGTCTCGTCTCTTGCACAGTGGCTCTGGGGAGGCTTTCCCCTGCAGTATTGTTTACTTTTGTAGGGACTCCTATAATTTGTTGTTGTTGTTGTTTTTGACAGGCAGAGTTAGAGAGAGACAGAGAGAAAGGTCTTCCTTCCGTTGGTTCACCCCCCAAATGGCTGCTACAGCTGGTGCTGCGCCGATCTGAAGCCAGGAGCCAGGTGCTTCTCCTGGTCTCCCACGGGGTGCAGGGCCCAAGCACTTGGGCCATCCTCCACTGCACTCCCGGGGCACAGCAGAGAGCTGGCCTGGAAGAGGGGCAACTGAGACAGAACTGGTGCCCCAGCCGGGACTAGAACCTGGGGTGTTGGCACCACAGGCGGAGGATTAGCTTAGTGAGCCGTGGCGCCGGCCAGGACTGCTATAATTTAATTAATATTGAGGTATAGATTTTGCATCAAAGAAGCGTAGCAGATTTTCTTTGCCTTAGTTGCTGGCATTATATATGTGCCTACCCCCTGCAGAACGCACTGCTTCCATCTCGGAGTCCTGATGTTCATGATTCCCGTGTTCGTAATTCCCGTGTTGGGAAGCTGTGTCCTGAGAATAAGAACTGTTCCTGCAACTGAAGTTTGCTTGGTTACCCACCACAGTCTCTTCTTTTGAGGATTCTCACTTTTGGAAAATCATATTTTAGTTTTTAATTGAATTTTTGTTTGGTTAGAAATTTTGGAGGCCGACACAGTGGTGTTAATGGGTTAAGCTGCTGTCTATAGTGCCGGCATCCTGTAAGGACACCAGTTCAAGTCCTGGCTACTCTGCTTCTGATCCAGCTCACTGCCTGTGCCTAGGAAAGCAGTGGAGGGTGATCCAAGTGCCTGGATCCCTGCACCTGCATGGGAGACCCAGAAGAAGCTCTGGCTCCTGGCTTCGGCCTGGCCCAGCCCTGGCCATTGCAGCCGTTTGGGGAGTGAACCGGTAGATGCAAGATCTCTGTCTCTGTCTCTCTCCCTCTCCCTGTGATTGTGACTTTCAAATAAATAAATGAATCTTTTTTTGAAGATTTATGTATTTGAAAAGCAGAGTTACAGAAAGAGGTAGAGAGAGAGAGATCTTCCGTCTGCTGGTTCACTCCCCAAATGGCCACAATGGCCAGAGCTGGGCAGATGCAATCCAGGAGCCAGAGCTTCTTCCCAGTGTCCCACGTGGGTGCAGGGGCCTAAGGACTCTGGCCATCTTCTGCTGCTTTCCCAGGCACCAGCAGGGAGCTGGAAAAGAAGTGGAGGAGCCAGGACTTGAACTGGTGCGCATAGGGGATGCTGACACTGCAAGCGGTAGCTTTACCTGCCCCAGTAAATAAATCTTCAAAAAAATTTTTTGATACAACACCTCTCTCTCTGGGAGCAGAGCTGTCCACGTGTTTTCACCCCAGATAGAATAATAAATTCACTGATGCTCACTTCAAGGTGTGATTCAAATTTCAGCCATGTTTAATGCTGGTTAATGGACTCCTGGCTGGGTCTGTCCTCGGAAATGTGCCCGTTGCTGGTGCCAGCCCCCAAGCCTGCAGACTCTCGGGGGCCCCTGCCAGTTGTGCTGGTCCTGCAGGGCTGCGGTCCTCCGTCTTGCTCGTAGCTCTTCCCCAGGAGGCTCCTGACCGGCAGTGCCCTCCCAGCTGCAGCTGTGTTGGTTTCTGGTGCCAACCTTTGCCCTCCCAGCAGAGGGCACCCACCTGCCAGGCATGGCTCGGCTATTTGAGGTGGCAGGGCAGGCAGAGAGGGGAGGTAGAGAGAGAGTGGAGCTGACGGGGACAGGCCAGGGTTGGAGAGGAGCAGGGCAGAAGCGCAAGCTGCCCCCCTCATCTGAAATGAAGGCGTCACCGCAGTAGCACAGTGCATCGGGAGTGGGAGCAGAAACGGGACCCGCCTGTGTGTGACGCTCGTGGTACTGGAGTGTGGTCGACAGGTTCGGTGGCATCCCATGATGAATGACCTTGCTGACAAGGACAAAAGACACCCCAGGAGGAGCGGCAGCAGCTGCGGAGCGAGAAGTCCTGCAGCCGGAGAGCAGAGGAAGGAGAGGAAATAGATTTTGTTTTTAACAAAGGAGGGATTTCTGGGAGCGTCTTAAACTTCAGATGACCAGGTAGAGAGGGGAGCTGAGCTGACCTCGCGACACGCGATAGCTACGGTTCTCCTTTTCCAAACCTTAGATGCATGAGCACTTTGTGGCTGGATGGCAGATGTCTCCCAGTGGAGTCTGAATTAGCTGAAATTTTAGTCCCGAACTCTGCCATTTCCTCTCCTTTAGCAGCCTCCCCTGGCTCTGTGCTCGTGAGAGACGCAGCCACGTTCAAAGCCTGAGCTGCTGCCCTCGTTCTCTGGGGACACAGGTGGCCCTCCAGTCAATGGGTGTGCACATTACCACATCTTAGAAAATCAGCTATTATTTATAGATCTGTAGTGAGGATTGGGCACTTAGAGTTTCAAAGATTGACCTGCAGGAAACAGTTAAGGATTTGAGAGGTGGGCAGCGTTGCTATGCCAACGGCCTGTCTCTTTACAGATAAGGACAGGGTTTCTAGAACACAGCGCTGACATCTTGGGCACACACTGTATTTGGTGTTCTCGTCTTATTCTAAATGAAGTCAGGTAAATTGCAGGTTTACGCTCTCTTCTAATGCAAACAACCCCGTTAATTTACAGTCGATTCAAGGTACTGGCGCATTTCTCATTTCTACAGCGTAAGTGCCTGTGCAGGCCGTGTCCTGGTAAAAGCCTGGGTGGCCTTCAGGACGCACAGTGGCCATCCTACACGCACAGGAGCTCCGCTGGGAGGTGCACGGGACAAGGTCCTGCGTGTGCGACAGGCGTCCCTCTGAGAACACAGTATGCTTAAACCACCGATACATGACCACCCTGTCAGAAAAATGGATGCTTCGCTGAAGGGCTGCATCACCCATGAGTGACGCCCGGTGACACACTGGGAGGCCCACGTTATCTCCCTCCACAAGTGTGAGGAGGGCCGCGGCGTCTCCCCTGTCTGCGGCACGTGCACTACACCTGGAGCCAGGCTGGTGCCATGCAGGCACTGTGCACAGCATCAGAAGGGGGCAGGGAAGAGACTCTGCTGCCTCCCCGGGCTGCCAAGGCTGGGGAAGCCCCCTCCCTGTCTCCCCTGACAACCGCCCCTCCGGGAAGATCTGGGTGGGGTAGGGTGGGGGCAGAGGTGGGTGCTGCGCCTCCAGGCCCAGTGTTTCCCCAGCCGCTGCCTGCTCTGGGGCCGGCCTGCTTTCTTCCCTGGTCTTTTGTCTAAAGCAACTGCTGGCTGTGGGTCGAGAACCTACAGGAATCCCAACATTAGCCTGAAAAGCTGTTCTGGTATCATAGCAGAGGTGACTGAAACAACAGGAGTTTATTTCCTCTTAGTTCTGGATGTCCAGGTGTGGGCAGGGCCAGGCGCCCTATGACAGTGCCTGGGAGGAGTCGTCCAGGCCTGTCTGTGGCTGGCGGCCACTTCTCTGCAGTGACAGTGTCTCTGTCTTCCCATGGCTCCTCCCGGTGTGCACATCGTGTGTGCGCCTGCGTCTCCCCAGGGTACTGTCCCTGTGCACCTGTCTGCGTGCACACACCCCTCCTTCCTACAATGACATCCACCCTCTTGGATTAGGGGCCCGCAACTGATCACGTCTGAAACAAATCCATTTCCAAGTCAGGTCAGGCTCTGAGATTCTGGGGTCGGGACTCCGCGGTATGAACTGGAGCAGGAAGGAGGGGGTGGGCAAGTCAGCCCAAGAAAGACAAGTTCTGCGGTGTAGAAACTCTAGCTCACAACCTAGTCGTGTGGGGAGCCACAGGACTCTGCAAAGCCAAGTTGCTGTCCCTATTCTGATGAACTGGATCCCCACCCTGCTGCATTATGGTGGAAACTGCATGGGATTTTGCGTCTAAAGACGCCTGGCACAGAGACAAGCACACAGTGCACGCTCTGTAAGTCCTGCCTCCCCTCCACTTGGTATGAGGCATACAGGGGGTCTTCAGAAAGTCCAAGGGAAATGCATATTCTGAAAAACATGATGCATGGATTATCAAAAATGTCTTGCACCAAAATAAATTTAATTTTGAATTCCATGGCTCCTCCAGCATTGTGAAGTGCCCTCATGACATCACCCCCTTCCCCGGCCCCTCCAGGCCCCGCCATGGAGTAACACCCTATCTGAGGTCACAGTCTGCCGTGTTACAAATTGTTACAGAAACAGCACAAGGGTATTTCCTTGCTGTGTGGGCTCAGGTAAAACTGAGCTCCTGACTACCCGAGATTTATGGAATTTGTTGCTAACAGTAAAGAGATTTGCATCCCTGTTCTGCTCCAGCAGGTTTAATCTGACCGCACCAAAATGCTCAGGGCACATTGCTGTTCCAGGACAACTTGATTATCTGGGTGAAAATTGGACCGTCTTTCACGGAAGCCGTTCGACTGCTGATGCCTCTCTGTCCAATGCCTTCTTTGCAGTTCCTTCTGCTGCCCCAGAAAACGTGTCAGCTGAGGCGGTCAGCTCCACCCAGATTCTGCTCACCTGGGCCTCCGTGCCCGAACAGGACCAGAACGGGCTCATCCTGGGTTACAAGGTGGGTGTGGAGGTGGCCTTGCTGTGCTGAAGGGGAGGGCTGTGAAGACGCTGCCACAGGGCGCCGCCCTAACCGACGTGTTGATGCTTTCCCACACGCGGCTCTGGGCCGCTCCCTGGTTTTTGCCTCAAATGTCTTGTGCAAGCCTCACTGTGTGAGGGACGTGGGCACTGGTAGAACCACCTATCAAGTGCCATCCGTGACTTTCCCAGTGGTAAAGTGAAAGGTGAGAGCCGGACTGCCAAGCTCAGCCTGCCCTGGGCCAGTTACTTAGCTCTGTGCCCTCCGCCCCTGTTTCTAACTTGTAACACAGGGATAACCACAGTAGCCATTCCCCGGGTGGTTGCGAGGATCAAGTGGGATATTTTAGGAAGTGGGCTTGCTCTCAGTGAGTGCTGAGTGAGTGTGTGCCTGTGTTTGTGGGCGTCACTGCCAGTGGGGCTGTCCTAGGCCCTGGCATCCCCTGGGAGAGCTGGCCTGTCCCAGCTTCCACCCTCCATGCCGCTGCCTGGACCCATTCCGTCATCACGAGGCGGCATTGCGTCTCCCTTTTCTGAAAGCCCACAGCAGCTCTCGTGAGCGGCCACTGGCCTTTTCTGGGCTGGGCCAGCGAGGCCACGCTTGTCCCGTGTGTTGCTCCACTCACTGGAACTTGTCTCCTCCTTGCTTTGGCATCATTTCGGCCCTGTTCCTTGTCTTCCCGTCTGTTCTTAGGTGTCTTCCCTCCTCCCTAGGCCTTCCAGTTGCTCCCTTCTGCTTCACTGTAGCTAGGAATACATGCCAGTCCTGTGATACGTGTCAACCCAGTGATCCATGACATTCCCATGATAGCACATGATACATGACAATCCCATGACGCATGGCAGTGCCATTATGTATGATAACCCTGTGCTACCTGATAACCCGTGGTACATGGCTGTCCACAGTATGTGATGACTTGATGCATGACAGGCCCATAATACATAAGAATCCCAGACATGGCAGTCCCCTGGCATGGGCTCAGTGATCCAAACCCACACCACGGACTGGGCCCTGGAGAAAAATGCTTGCCATGGGATTTTCAGACTTCCCGACGGCCCAGTCTGATGTGCCCTCTGGACACTGGTGTTGGGGAGAGGCTCACAGAAGGTGAGGCTTGTGTGAGGACTTGGAGAGTAGGAGCACACTCGGGGTAGCTGTGCCCATGGCATGTGGAGGCTGGGATTCAGGTGCGTGGGAGAAAGAGAAGGACTTCGGGGGCAGGAACCTGGTTTCCAGGGGTGGGAAGCCGAGCAGGCTGCTGACTCTGTTTGTAGGAGGCAGAACATCTCTGGTCATGATCGAGTCCTTGTTTTGGTGCCAATGCTGGCATGGCTGCAGTGGGGCGTACACAACCAGCACGGGTACAGTGGGGTGGAGATGACCACCATGGCTGCAGTGGGGTGGGCACAGCCCAGGTGCAGCGGGGTGGAGATGACCACCATGGCTGCAGTGGGGCGTACACAGCCAGCACGGGTGCAGCGGGGTGGAGATGACCACCATGGCTGCAGTGGGGTGGACACAGCCAGCACGGGTGCAGCGGGGTGGAGATGACCACCATGGCTGCAGTGGGGCGTACACAGCCAGCACGGGTGCAGCAGGCTGGAGATGACCACCATGGCTGCAGTGGGGTGGGCACAGCATGGGTGCAGCGGGGTGGAGATGACCACCATGGCTGCAGTGGGGCGTACACAGCCAGCACGGGTGCAGCGGGGTGGAGATGACCACCATGGCTGCAGTGGGGTGGACACAGCCAGCACGGGTGCAGCGGGGTGGAGATGACCACCATGGCTGCAGTGGGGTGGACACAGCCAGCATGGGGGCAGCGGGGTGGAGATGACCACCGTGGCTGCAGTGGGGACCTCAGAGTTTGCAAATAAACCATGGCCAAGGCAGCCACTGCATCAGGATGTGGCCTGGGTGGGACCTCCGGCTGCCCCATACACTACAGTGCAGTGGCTCCATCCCATCTCCTCCCCAAGGGCAGTGCACGGGATGAGGTCCATGGGTCTTCCACAGGACAGCATGGGGGGAAGACAGCTCGGTTGGTCCTTACTTGTACCTGTGACCTCTCTCCTCCATGCCCACATTGCCCCCCACCCCAAGCACCTCACGTGAACGTAACTGTCCACGCCTCTGTGTTGATGCTTCAGATTCTGTTCCGGGCCAAAGATCTGGATTCCGAGCCTCGCAGCCAGGTCGTGCGAGGGAACCACACGCAGTCGGCGCTGCTGGCCGGGCTGCGCAAGTTTGTGCTGTACGAGCTGCAGGTGCTGGCGTTCACACGCATCGGCAACGGGGTGCCCAGCTCACCCCTCATCCTGGAACGCACCAAGGATGACGGTACGTGTTCCCCCAGGCAGGCTTGTCCCAGCCAGCTGTTTCCATTGCAGTCATTTGTAACTCAATTTTCAAACCACCCTTTTTTTTCCCCCCAGTTGAAGGAAACAAAACAAAATTGTTTCTCAGTCACTGAGCATTTATGTGGCCAGTTTCAGCCTGCAGTGGGTTTTTACGACCAATTATGAACCTGTGCAGAATCTGGGTCGTAACCTTGCCATGGGCAGAGCAGCAGAGGTGGGCGGGGCTGGGAAATGGGCACCTGCCCCTCTTGGGGGCGCCTGCACAAAGCCAGTGAGATTTTGCTCTGGACCGGTGTGGCTCGGCCCCCTTGATGCTGGCCCCGGGGCCACGCGTGTGCTCAGCGATGATTAGCAGTTCCCATGCGGAGGGCCATGTGTGGTGGCTCCCAGGGCCCCAGCCCCTGTGTTTCCAGACCTGAATAACAAGCTCATCTCGCCGGCTTTGTTTTTATGGACGCCTAAATCAGAGATAAATACTGTTCTCTGCTTCGCAGATGTCAAACACTTAAAGGTCAGCCCCTTGGCACTTGTGTTATTAAACAGCGCGTGTCAGGAGAGTGTGAGTGACCCGCCCCCAGAAGCCCCACCTCGGGTCAGCCGTGGGTTTTCTGAAGGGTCCTTGCCAAGGGGACTCTGAGCCCGCCACGCCCTGATGCCACGCTCTCGGTTCTGCTCAGCAGTGAGGACCGTGGTGGGCGCTGCCCAGAGGAGGGAATTGAGACCACGAACCCTGTCCTTCATGCTCCCCCCAGACAGGGCCTCAGGCAGGTGGGAAGTGGAGCAGAAGTCTCTTTGCAGAGCTCTGCAAAGCTGCAGTGTGTTCCAGGTTCCTCAAGTGAATGTGGAAAGCGCGTGTTAGAAACTGCCCTTGGAGGCCGGCGCCGCGGCTCAACAGGTTAATCCTCCGCCTGCGGCGCCGGCACCCCGGGTTCTAGTCCCTTGGAACCGATCCTTCTCTCCCAGTCCTGACGTGAGCACCTCCCTCCTCCCTCTCATTATGGTGCGAGGCGAATGTTCAGAGAGCTGACGTCGCCGTCCCCGCTGTGCATCTGCTAATTGGCCTTGGCATGTGAACATGTGACTTGGTGTCAGCACATGAAGGACAGTTCGCAGCCTCCTCCTCCTCCCCCTCCCCCCACCCCGAGGCAGAGACACCGTCCTGGGATGACTGCTACAGGGCACAGCCTCTTCTTTCTGCTCATTCGGGTTAGTCCACACCCTGCCTCTCACCACCTGAGACTCCTTCAGTTTTTCAGTTCCAGCAAGGAGTCCTCGCTGGTACTGACTTGGCTTCTGTTTGCGTAAACGTGGTTTATGAGAGCTACGACCCTACTGTTCGGGGGTGCCGCAGAGTGCAGCCGCTTTGTTAGTTATCGGTGGGCTGAACCCACGGAAGAGCAGCGTGGTACATTTGTGCCCCTCGACTCTTCGCTGCTCACTCAGTGCAGGACGGGGGTGGCGTGCAGAACCCAGCAGCTGCCCGTCAATGGTTGTCACCTTGACTTTGGGCTGGAAGGGACTCCAGGCCGCTGCTCTGCACAAGCCACACCCCAGGAGTCCGAGCCCGGATTACTGCACTCCGCGGCCAGTTGTCAGTTTCATGGCCAGTTTCCCAGTGTGGCTTCTCAGCCCTGCTTTTGAAGCTTGGGAAGCAGATGGTCAGGAATGAGGCTGCTCTCAGAGTCACAGGGGAGCCACGCAGAGCCAGTGAGGCCGCCAGAGTCCTTGGTCTGGCGCTTCGTACAGTGTTCTGCCAGGAGTGGTGTCATGTCGCCATGCAGGGCTGATCCCAGAGCCCTGGTGCCTCCCGACGTGCCCCGGCCAGCACGGCCGTGCTCTGAGTGTACTAACTGGCGTTGTCTTCCCCTTCAGCCCCAGGACCGCCAGTCAGGCTGGTGTTCCCCGAGGTGCGGCTCACCTCCGTGCGCATCGTGTGGCAGCCCCCCGAGGAGCCCAACGGCATCATCCTGGGTGAGGAGCTGGAGTCAGCAGGAGGGAGGGGCGGTTAGCGTGGGCCCTGCTGTTTTTGTTAGGTGTTTGCGAGGCTGCGCATGGCCACCCAGCTGTGGCCCAGCGTCTTCTGAACCCAGACGGCTGTGAGCGCCTTTGCTACTCTGTGAGCTGTGTACCGTGGTTTCTCTGTGGAACGGAATTTGTGTTGTTGTTGACCCATTTGTTCAAGGCAACGCCGATCGTCGGCCCTCACGCCCAGCCGCCCTCCACTGCAGGCTATTAGGAGTGTTACCGCAGTGGGACACAGCAGGCTGTTACTGCAGTGGGACACAGCAGGCTGGCTTCCTTCTGAGGACGCAGACCTGGGCCTTGCCCCGCGTCCCTGGGGACACGTTTGGCTGCTCCCTCTCCTGCACCCGTGCCCATGAACAGCCTCTGAAGGCAGGCGCGGGCCAGGCCCCGGGAGCCTGTGTGCTGAGACCGTTGCAGTCAGAGAAGCAGCTCTGATGACGCCGATGAAGGCCTTCATCTTCCTGGTCCCCCAGACGCAGCAGATTAAACTGTAAACCATCAGTGGCTCTTCCTCTGTCTGCTGCAACCGGCGGCCCAAGGCGCGGTGGCAGTGACAGTGAGCAGCAGACAGTGAGCTGCCAGCCTCATGTGGGCCTGGGCCATGGGCCCCAGACCTGGGGCAGGGAAGTGGACCGCAGAGCAGAGGGCTAGGGCTGAGGGCTGCCCTCCACACAGCACCCAGACAGAGCTAAGGAGCTCATTTCTCCAGAGCTGCTGCCAGCGTGCTATGGCTCAGGAAACACGTGCAGAGGTGCAGGCTGGGAAAGTCCCAGGAATCCGTGGAAGCAGAGCTCCCTGCCCTGACCCAGAGACCCCAGCTGCCTCCATAGCCTCGGGAGACCCTCCCAGCAAGCCCTGGTCTGTGGTGTCCCTGTGCCGTCCTGTGGCCCCACCAGGCTGGTGCACCTGCTCTGGGGTGGGACCGAGCAGGGGAGGTGAAGGAGCTGAGCGTATAGTCTGGCCACGCTTCGCTCTTGCTGTGGGCGACCTGTGGACCGATTTTGGTGCTGTGGCGTTGAACTGCTCACCAAGGTCTTCCTTGCAAATATGGGTCAGCTCTAGGCCATTGTCCTTGCCTGGGCCCCCAACCGAAAGACCCCCTTTCCCAAGGGCCTCTGCTCCTCCTTTAAAACTCATATTGGTGCCCTCTTTGCCTATGGATTTGTGCCACCTCCCCTTTGTGCGTTATGTACCTGGGAAGGCTGCCCCTCCTCTTTGCTCCCAGGGAGCCTTGCTCTCGCCAGTGGATCACAGGGTCATCTGAAACTCTTGCCTTTACATTTTGATGTCTCCCACCTTTGTTTCCCTGGTTATCCCGGCACTGTGAAACGATAACACAGTCAGCAACGAAGCACGTTTCACACTGGCCAGACGGGGAGGCACAAGCCAGCCTAAAAGCACCCAGCACACGAGTGTGTGGAGGAATGCCCACTCCTGCCTGAGCATGACTGGCACAGCCCCCAGGGAGCGCTTGGTGATGTCTGGGAGGAGAAGCCGTCTGCACGCTCTGTCCCGGGGGTCCTTCTCTTCCAGGCCACGTGCTGCAGAGGCACTGTCACCCAGTGCACACAGATTCGTGTAAATAGTACAACAGGAGCTTCGTGGCATGAAGCCTGTGTTTACTTTAAACACCGAGGTACAGACAGGCGGAATGGCAGAGCAGGGGAGCCTCAGATTCCCCAGGCTGGACTTCAGCCGAGTGAGTCTGCGCATCCCATGCCCCAGTTCTCCCAGTCCCCACACGGGCAGTCATGGTTGTGCCTCCCTCGTCCTGGAGCACTGGGAATGATGCCTGCACCGTGGTAACTGCACAGCAAACGTTAGCCTCAGTGCTGTGGACGTGGGCTGTTTCCCCCTGCTCTGGGTCCACGGGCAGCTGGGGCCCGTAGACCCAGGGGCTGGCTCACTGTCTCGGCACCGCTCTGGACTTAGCCCGGAACCAGGGTTTACTTAGCATTCACAGTGGTTGCGTCAGTTTGGCCTCCATCACTCTGGTTGCTGGAGCAGAGGATTCATGCTGACAAGAGAGGGAGAAAAACCTAGAAAGGCAGTTTGGATTGTAGAGTGTTGCTGACGTTTGCTGGGAGCTAGGGTTCGGATTTGCAGTCCCTGGGGGTCACTAAAAATCACACAAGCCCAAGTAGGGAGAGGGTGGTGTTTAAATCCCCTGAGAACTCCAAGCCCAACAGAGGCTGCAGCAAACAGCGGTAACGCAGGCGACACTGCCTCTGAGCTGCTTTTGTTGTAGGCACTGGGTTGTAATTGTAACAGATGTTGTCGGGGTAACCTGTCACCTGCACAGTGTTGCAGCCAGCGCACCAAACTGTAGATGCCGCAGCAAAGATGGGAAATTCAGTTCTAAAGATTGCAGTGGGTGATCACTGAGGAAAAGGAAAACATCTCTTGGCACAATTCACCACATCCCGAGACCTTGAATCAGTGCCCCCGCTGCACGGGGCGGCCTTCTGAGGTTGGAAACCCCTCTGCAGCCCACGCTTCTGTAATCAGTATCAAAACATGCTCTCGCATTCCCAGAAGAGATTAACAGCACGGAACACCGGCAGGCGCCTGGAGGGAGGAACACTGGCTTATTTGCGTAAATGTTTTACTATGGAGCGCTTTTAGCATTTAGAGCCTGCCTGAAGGACAGCCAACCCCCACCCCCCTCATCAGACTGTCACACACCTCCCACTGCTGCCCTGTGTGAATGTAGTGCAGGTGCCTCGGGCCCACGCAGTCTGTCCAGCCAGACACGCCAGCGCCCGCCCAGCCTCCACCCTGCCGGAGGCCCCTGCCTGCCGCTTCCCTGCAGCCTGTCTGAAGGAGTGTGTGAGAATCTGCTGAATGCAGTCCAGGTTTGCAGACTCCTCATTTGGGCCCACTGTTGTGTTTCTACTCCCCCATCCCTCCTGTGGTTAAGCTTTGAAACCGGCAGCCCCCAGCGTCTGACACGGGCCTCCAGGACGGCTCAGCTGCTGGGGCGTTCTCGGCCCAGGTCGTGGGGGCCAGCAGTGCCCTGTCCTGCCAGCGGCCTTGCCTTGGGAACCTGGACCGTGGCAGCAGATTAGTGAACAGGCAGCTGTGGGTCACGTGTCTCTAGTGTGCCAGGGCAGCACACGAACCGTAAAAGGCTTGCGGTCACCTCCGGTCACTCCCCAAATCACTCTGTGTGCAGCCATGTGCACAGTCAGCTCATGTGAGAAAGGGGTTGAGACCCCCGTGGGGCCTGGCGTGGAGCGTCACCCATAGGCCATGTGTTGCCCTACCAAGGAAAGTGCAGGTGGGACTCTAAGTTCAGTAGGTCCACAGCAGGACCATATGTAAGTTGTAATTTTGTGTGGCCCGCGGTTGATGGTATCAGTGTCCACACAGCCCCCTCGGGAGAAAGGGTCCCCACCCCTGGCCTGCAGTCACACCTTGCAGCACCTGCCCGTGTCTTATGTGCTGGTTAGCTCTGGAACTGATGGATTGTGGGGAGCAACTCGGACTGGACTGAGTTACTGGAATTAAGACTTATTCTGTGCATCTGCTCTCCTACAATATGGCGCTGAGAAGGGAGAAGCAGCTTCTACGCAGCTGCCTCTCACCAGTTTGACTGATGAGCTGCAGGAGCTGATCCTGCTGCTGATTGGAGGAGAGCAGCGTGCTCAGCGTGTGGGTAGCAGAGTTGGGATTGGTGGAAGAGGACTATAAAGGAGGAGAGAGACAACATGCACCGGGAACATCTATCTGAAGGAACACCTGAGCAGCCCCCGAGAGAGCCGGCCGGCGGTGTGCCGCTCCCCCGCGCAAGTGGGGAAAGTGGCAGGGGGAACCGCCCTTCCACGGAGGTGGAGGGGTCAGCAGCCAACCCGGGAAGGACCAGCAGCAAACCCAGGAAGGGCCGAGCAGACAAAAGAACAGCGCAGGGTCCTGTGTCGTTCCTCCACGAATGGGGGAGCGACAATGGATGGTTCTGGAACGGGTCTTAGCTGGTAGCACGTGCTCATTCTCCATCCTGAGTTTGTGGGCGCACGGCCCTCCTCCCTCCCCGAGGTGTTCGCAGAAGCCTGCGCGGGCCTCTGCGTATTTTTCATCTTCACTTGGGATCTGCATTGCCCGCAGCTGGCCTTGCCCTTTTCCGTGCCTGTGTTATCATCAGGCACCCATAACCTTACCAAGCGGCCTCCGTTGGGCCCACGGCGTGGGCCTGGCCGTTGCTGCCTGCTCCTCACTCCGCTCTTGCGGCCTTGCCCTGCAGAGGTGCAGCATCCACTCCCACCCTAGTTACTGAGCTGCCTTCCCCGCAGGAGCTCTCTGGTCTCTGAACACCACCTCTCATCAGCCCCTAGAAATGCAAGAATGACTCGGCTTCTCTGTGCCGTTTTCATGTAGAAAATGACCCTCTTGTGTTTTCTGCAAGCCTAGGGCTGGAGTTTCAACTGGCCGAGGGAAGACACGGGCAGCAGCCTTTATGTTCAGCAGACCACGGTGTGGGGACTTGATCAGCCCTACTTAGGGCCAATAATGGGAAGGTGTGCATACAACCCCGGGGCCCAGGGCTCCTCTCCTGGCAGCTCCACAGAGATAGAAACCGTCGCTCAGGCTGCCAGCCGCTGGACCCACGATCCTGTCCTCACAGCTTACCTGCCCCTCTCACAGGGGCCCCACCGCAGCTGTACAGAGGGAAGTTCCGTCTTCCACCGTGGTGGAGGAAGCCAAGGGCATCCCTGCTGCCAGTCTGTGCTTCCTGCTGGGAGCTCGGCCCAGGCAGGTCCACACCCTCAGTCCTGAAGACCCACCTTACGAAGGGAGAATCATGCCTGTGGTATGCTGTGCAGAATGGAGAGCCTGTGTTTAAATAGAAAAACTTAAAAAAAAAAAAAATACACTTCCCAAAACAGCAGGTGTTCTGAGCAGTGAGATGGCTTCCCCACAGGTCCCCGCCCTGTCACACCTGAGCTGCCCAGCACCACCCATGACTGTGCCCTGGGCCTTCTCTGGCCGCGGGACTTGAGGAGTGGGCCACCCATGGAGAGGGCGCTGCAGTCGGAGCCCAAGCGCTGTCGCCTCGCCCACCCCACCCTCCACCCACTGCCTGGGCAGTGATGGCTGTACACCTGCCTGTGTGGCTTCCCAGCCCATCAGGTTCTCCACACCCCTCCCATACCACTTGTCCTCCTCTCGATGGATGGATGGATGGATGGGTGGATGGATGGGTGGATGGGTGGATGGGTGGATGGGTGGGTGGATGGATGGGTGGATGGGTGGGTGGGTGGGTGGATGGATGGATGGATCTCCCTCCAGGAAGGACTGGTGTCTCTCTGTCACCAGGAAGGGCTGAACTTGCTTGTGCTGGGTGGCCCGTCAGTGCGGGTGTCTAAAAATACCATGTTTGGTTATGGTCTGGTTGGAAATGGTTGTGTCGGCATAGTCTTTGTGCTTGATTATGAAGTTTGGTTTGTGTTTGCAAAACGCCTTCCTTTAGTTTGAAACTATGCCTCTGCTGATGGCATTGGGCTTGGTCGGCTGCTCTTGGTGCTAGTCACAGATTGGCTTTCCTCCAGGGGTCAGGGGTCATTACCAAGGCCTGGCTGATGTTTGGCTGCTTCAGCCTCTGCATGTGAGCCTCAATCCTGTGTGCGCGGTGGCGCCGCGGTGCAGGCTGCTGTTCCCGCCAGCTTTGACCTCGCCCTCTGTGCTCTGCTGAGAACAGACATTATTACTGTGCCTGGCGCACCTGCAGCCCCTGATTGCACTGCAGAGTGCAGACACTCCGAATCAACCACATGAAAATAAATCACAATACGACTCCTGAAAGCCAGAAGCAGACATATTGACAAAGTTAGAGGAATGGCAGGACGCTATTTACGTGCCACTCACAGCAGTGGGCGACTCTGAAAAGATATAATTCAGAGTGCAAAAATCAGATAATGGAGATATGCACGTATTTAAAAATACAAGGGTGAATACTAGGGAGTAAACGCAATGCCATAACCAAGCAGAGCAGGGCAGGGAGCCAGGAGCTCTGCTGATCTCCCCATCATTCTCAGCGAGGAGTTACCAGATGCCGTCTGAAGCAGAGGAGGGATGCATCTGCACAGATTCCAACTTTGAGGGTAAAGAACAAGCAGGCGGTAACCTCCCAGAGGGTCGGCGGGGAACACACGCATCCCACAAAGCCAGTGCCAACTGCAGAGATGTTAACGAGAAAAGCCAAGTACGCGGCAGAAGGCCGGGTTTGTACGGCGTGCACAGAAGGATAAGCTGCCTTCCTAAATACCCCAGGACGTGTCTGTGTTCCCAGATTACTGGGAGAAAGACACCCACAAACACAGCAGTGCTGCTCGCTCAGGGAAGGGGCCCCGGAGGCCCGAGGGTCTGAGCAGAGGGAGAAGTGCTTTTCACTGTGAATGTGCGATGCAGAGTGAAATGGGGATTTTTGAGCCATGTGAATACTGGAACACTTAAAAGTTCATGGAAAATGCAATTAGAAAGTGAGGGTGTTTTGATGCAAAATGAATTTGAAATCCATGCGTAGTTGTTTTCCTATAAAAAGTATGTGCAGGGCAGGCATTGCTCTTGAAACCCTGGCTAGACACCTGTATCCCAGAGTAACTGGGTTCAAGTCCCGGCTCTGGCTCCTGACTCCAGCTTCCTTCTCTGCAGAGCCTGGAGGCAGTGGGGATGGCTTAAATAATTGAGTCCTCGCCATCCTTGGGGGGCCTGGATTGAGTTTCAGCTCCCAGTTCCAGCCCAGTCCAGTCCTGGCTGCTGCTGGCATCTCGAGGGGGGAGGGGGGTGAACTCACAGGTGGGAACTTGCTCACTTGAGCCCCCGTTCTTTACCCCCACCCCTCTTTTTAATGTTAGTTCATGGAGAACTCATATGATAAAAAAAAGAATCTATGCGTGCATTTTAAGATATTTTTGCAGGCTGGCATTGGCCTCCCCCTCACCTCAGTGGAGAGAACAGCAGCCGAGCTCAGGGTCCTGCAAACACTTGGGCCTGAGGTGGCACCTGTATGGACCGGACAGGGCAAGTCTGTGGCCGGGACAGTGAGGTGCTGGTGGGGACTGTGTGGCTGGGACTTGTTATTAGGACTCTCTCAGTCTGACCTGCGTGCACAGGCCTGGAGAGGCCCCTTACGCAGGCAGAGAAGCAGCCACGGGCGGGAGCTGGGAGGTCCCCGTGAGCCCTGCTGCCGTGGGACCCAAGGAAGAACAAAAGGACAGCGGTGTCTCGCCCAGAGCGGCAGCCACCCAGGCAAGACCAGCGAGCCTTGGAGGCGGGGGGCCTGTTGCTGCCCCCAGGCAGGCGGAGCTGCAGAGAACTGGGCTCAGCAGTCCAGCCTGATTTGCCCCAAGCACCCAACAGCTGGGCTGTCCATTTTGTGGGATGCTGCAGCTTCTCCTCCATTATGGCTTCCTTCCTCCCAGGAACTCAGCCTCTGGACCGCAGGTTGCCCATGAGCCCCTAGGAAGCTGAGCCCAGCAGCACACGGGAAGGTCTTAGGGCAGCCAGGCTGGGGAGGTTTGCTCATTAGTGACGTCCAGTCAGCTGCAAATCCTTACTAATCAGGGAACTTGGAAGCAGCTGCGCCATCCCCACCCCGCCCCGGCTGATCTGAGGCAAAGGAGGAGGGTTATCCCAAGTGGAGGCCCCTTGCTCAGTGCTGCTGGGGGCTGGCAGGAGGGAGGGGCAGCAGAGGACGGGCCAGGATGCTGTGCAGACCAGGGCCCCGGAGGAAGGAGGGCGATGAGGGCTGTGCAGGCCACGCTGCGTGGGCAGACGTTGATGAACTTTCTAAAGGAAGCCCCCCGCCCCCCACTCCTGCCCGTCTTCCTGATGAGAGCAAGGGCCCGGCCAGGGGGAAGACAGAATGCGGGCGGGCGCCTGGCTCTGGCAGCCTCTCCTCCGTGCGCTGGCGCTCTGGGGAAGGTCGGCGTTTTCATGTCTTGTTCCTGTGAGGGATGAGAGGGAAACAAGCTTCCCCGGGCCATCGGCTGGCAGGGCCCCCGCCCATCCATCACCATCACGGGGTGTGCGCTGCCTCGCGGTAGCCGCCTGCCTCCACAAGGAAGAAACAAATGGCCTTGTTTGCGTTTGCGATGCAGAAGTAATTACGGGTGTAGGGGGCCGCCGGGGGCGGGGGTGAGGGTTTCCCATGATGGCCAGCGAGGATGACTGAGCCGTCCCACCCCCTGCCCCCTCCCCACCACAGGGTACCAGATCGCCTACCGCCTGGCCAGCAGCAGCCCCCACACCTTCACCACCGTGGAGGTCGGCGCCACGGTGCGGCAGTTCACGGCCACGGAGCTGACCCCCGAGTCCGCGTACATCTTCAGGCTGTCTGCCAAGACGAGGCAGGGCTGGGGGGAGCCGCTGGAGGCCACGGTCATCACCACAGAGAAGAGAGGTAAGGACGTCGGGGGGGGCGGGCGGTGGTGGTGCCCGGCAGGCCTGGCGGCTTCAGTCTGGTCTGGCTGGGAGGCCTGTGCCAATCCTTCAGACAAACAGAAGGGACCGAGCACCTACTAAGCAGCTGTGGAGCTGGAGTTGTGGTGTTGCCCTCGGGCGTGTGCTGAGCACAGCTGTCTACTCTCTGGGGCGCGTGTGTCCCAGGTAGACAGTGAGAGATGGGGTGCAGAGAGGCCCCAGGTGGCAGGGCCTTCACGTGTGGGTGTGAGCTCCCACAGGCAGACACCTGGTCGCTGGTGTTCCAAACCACACCCACCACAAGCAGGGCCCGCCCTTGCATTTCCTAAGTGGTTGCTGTCCGTCTCCGTCATTCGTGACACCTGCTCTGATGCAGGTTCCCCGCTGGGAGCGGCACATCCTTGCACTTGGCTCACCGTCTCTGCAGCCGTGGGGGAGCACCGTGTTAGCTCTGAGACAGATTTGCTAACTGGCCCCAGACATTCAGCTGTGAATCTGCTTCCGGCAGACCCAAGGCCATTCTTCCCACGGAAGTGGGGCTCACTCCACAATCTGCCACAGCATTCTCCAGGCTGTGTCGTGGGCCCCCCTCTCCCCCAGCAGCAGTGGTTCCAACCCCAGGATCTGATGTCACGGCCAGACCCAAAGCTCTTGGGGAAATAAGTGCCATAGGGAGCTGCCCAGGCAAAGCTGATGCGTCGTGATTGGAGCACACAGCTCCAGGCATACGTCCCAGGCTCTCTGAGGCTCTGTGACCTCGGACCCCTCCCTTTCCCTCTCTGTGCTGTGGCAGGGCCCTGGTAGCCCTGGGGCAGCTGGCACAGTGCCCAGCGTCAACCTTGTCACCAGAGTTCCCGGGAACCAGTTGGCACAATGCCAGGGCTTGGTGGCCACGAGCTGGTGTTCCTGCCACGTTGGCACTGTTTGATACAAGATTGGAGCAGACGGGGAATGATGAGTTGAATTCAGAGCACTTGCAAAACAGTGCTGACCTTCAGTCAAGAAAGGAAGGAGGAGGAGATAGACACAGACCGAGCCCTGTCACTACGCTGTCAGGCTCTGCCCGGCTGCTCCCGCCAGGAGCTCCTCCGAGGCCTTGTCAGTGAGGAGCCCGCGGTCCCCAGGGTGAAGGAAGCGGCCAGGTTGAAGCCGCAGCTGTCCAGCTGTGAGGCTCTGTGCTCTCGGCTGTGCATGGCTGGGCCTGCCTGACGCTCACATGATGTTTACCGAAACAGCCCAGAGAGCAGAGCAAGCAGTGCTGACAAGGAGACCGTGCCAAAGAGCAGACAGCGTTTGTCTTCAGCGCGAACCTGTGCTAGCGTGGCCTCAGCGAATCGGGCCTCCTGCCCCGGGAGCCCCCAGCCGACACGACGCACGCCAGCCACGCCAGCCACGCCAGCCCTGGAGCAGCCCTGTTCATGTGCCGTGCTGCCTTGGTTCCTGGGTTAGCCCAGTCTGCTCACTGGCTTCCTAAGACCTTGGCCCGGCCTGGCCCGCTCTCTGCAAGTGCCCACCCTGTCCCCGAGCCCCTCTGCCTTTCAGGCCTGGGAGCCGACCGGCTCTGCTGGGCTCCAGGGAGTGGCACTGCGGTTGCTGTGCCGGCTGTTCCCGATTCACCTTCTTGATCGGCTTCCCCCAAGGGGAAGCCCCCGGCGGTGCTGCTGCCCTCCATGGGGCCACTTCTCGCACCCAGCTCACTTCATGCCACCAGTCTGACTTCCCCAGGGTAGAGCTGGGAGTGACGTACACAGTCAGCCCCTTCCTGGGACACACGTGCTTCACCCATGGCAACAGTGGGGAGGGCTGGCTTCACCGTCCATAGCCTCTGACTGTCCAGCGGCTCCACTGCATTCAAGGCAAGGCCTCAGCCTTCGGCCCTTTGTGACTCTGGTCACCCTGACCGGCAGCTCATCCTAGCTGGCGAGCCTCCGTGTCCCGAGGATGCTGCTGCCGCTGCCCACCTCAGAGCGGCGGTTACCAGCCCCCCCGTGCTGTCCAGCATTTCAGGGAATGTTAGCAACATTCACTCTCCACTCCCACCCCCTGAGTCCCCCACCCACACCCCCTGCTTCTCAGGCCCAGAGTTTAGGAGATTTCCCACCAGGCCCTCACCCCCATGGCTGAGGAACAGGGAGCCCAGGAGGGAGGCCTTGGGAGCAGGGGCGGGGGCACCAGGCCCTGGAGATACTGTTCCCGCAGAGCGTGCAGCCAAGGGCAGGAGCTGCTGACGAAGGCAGATCGAAGCGCTCCTCGCAGGGCCCACGGACTGCTGCTTTATTCCAGCCCACACATTTTAATCAGAATCAATAGTCCTCATGATAAACAATTAAACAATTACCCCTCCCTCTGTGCGGCTTCTCTATTGAAATCGATGGGGTTCGAGGAAACAGCACAGGCACACCACGTCCGCCCAGCTCCACGCGTCCTGCATCCCAACCCCCTCACTGCAGAGACGGTGGCCAGAGACCGCCCCAGGGGCCGTGCCCCACACCTGCACTCGCCCCCGACAAAAGCACAGAGTGGACGCCTTTGGTGGTTTGTGCCCTGAGGTGGTGGCGTGGGAAGTGTTGCAGATGGGCTTAGGCGAAAACCAGGAAGAAAGCGTCCAGGGGAACCTGGAGGTACGGGGAGGAGTCCCCAGGCCCCCGCAGTCCCAGCTGTCACTCAGCGCCTGCCCCTGGCGGTGGTGGTCAGGGGGATTTGTATGTGGCCTCACCTCTGTCTGCTCCTGAGCCAACAGGGCACACCCAAAACCAGCTGTGAGAGATCCTGCTGTCCGTGGAACACAGGGAAGAGCTGTCCCTGGTCAGTTAGCAGTGAACAGCAGTGCCTAGTCCACGCATCCTGCAGTAAACAGTGGTGCTCAGCCTTGGCAGGCTGCCCTTGGCGGCGGTCGGGAGGAAGCAGCAGCATTTCCAGGGCCCCTCTCCAGGGACAGCTGCCTCTCACGTGCCCCGTCATGTCCTCTTCTGGTTACAGAGCGGCCAGCGCCCCCCAGGGAGCTCCTGGTGCCCCAGGCAGAAGTGACCGCGCGCAGCCTCCGGCTCCAGTGGGTCCCAGGCAGCGATGGGGCCTCCCCCATCCGGTACTTCACGGTGCAGGTGCGAGAGCTGCCCAGGGGAGAGTGGCAGACTTATTCCTCGTCCATCAGCCATGAAGCCACAGCCTGTGCAGTTGAAAGGTACTGGGGGGACCAGGACCCGCCCCGGGCACTCGATCCTACCCTGAAGGCCCCTGCCCCTGCCCCCTGCAGCCCCCAGAGTGGAGTGTGTGTCTGGCTCGAGGACACACACCTGAGAACCTTCCCCTCTTCCACTGCGCTCCGCATGCCAGGGACCCCAGAATATCTAGGTCCTGGAGCCACTTCCGGGGGCCCATCCTGCACAGCTCCTGGCCCCAGGAATTGGTGAGGCAAAGACGAATGGGGACAGATGGTTCTGGCCCCTGCAAACAGGGGATACTCGTGGGTGGACAGAATGAGGCCTCTTTGGGTACCCTCTGAAAACAGCAAGGAGTCAGAGCATGCCTCAGGTGTGACCTTCACTGGTGACCACTGGCACAGCGGTAGAGAGAGTGGTGCACCTGTTCAGCCAGCAGTCCACACACGTGAGCTTGCTCAGCTGTCAGGACAACTTCACACACACACACACACACACACCGGTCTCTTTACAACAGAGAGGATCAAGGTGGAGAGAGGCTGAGTGAGCCGCCACTCCCACAGCAGGCCTTGCTGGTCCTCCCGCGGCCCCACTGACGCTCTCCTGGTCTCTCGGCTTCGCAGGCCTGGACTCTGACTTCCTCACCTCCCCTGGTCCTGGTCATCTATCGGGAGACCCACTCTCAGGGTGTGGGGAAGGGCTCCCTGGGGTGAGCTCCTCCGTCTCTGGGGATCCCGAAGCCCACCCTGCAGGAGGTGGGGGCCGAGACCCTGGTTTCCAGCTGAGCCCCACACAACCCGGGGAGAGGATGGTACGGTTCCTATTCTGTGGTGGCACTGAGGGTCAGGAGAGTGGGTGGTGTGCCTGCAGCCCCAGCACACTGGCAGGGAGCATGAGCAGAGCCTGTAGTGTGCCAAGCCCAGCCCTGCACAGCTGGATGGGAGCTGGATGAGGGACAGCCCCTGGGGCAGTCATGATCCCAGACTTCGCGTACCCCACTCCCTGCTCCGGGGCACAGCGGAGGCTCTGAAATCAGGTGGTGGTGTGGCTTGTCACCTCTCCTTCTTCAGTGACCACGGCAGAATTGAGAGAGAAGAGCAACTGTGCTCCAAGTTTGAGGCCCAGTGTGTGATGGATGGGGGTGGAGGTTGATGCACAGGGTGAGGGATGGTCAGCAGGAGCATCATGGGAGGCAAGGCTGTGAGGCCAGGACCACTGGCTCGGACATCACCTGGCTATGCTTGGAGTTGTGTGGCTCAAGACAAGAGTTGTTGGACCCAAGGGCACCAGGGCTGTGTCAATATCATCACTCTTAGCAGACACTGTGCCCCAGGAAGTGTGGCTATGCCAGCCATAACCCTGACCAGAGCCTGTGAGCATCCCTGGGCGGCACCCAGGTCCTCTGAGAGCTCGGCCGCAGGCCCATGCTCAGGCCCCCTCCGGAGTTGGTTGCGGGCCCAGCAGGAAGACAGCCCCTTGGCTCAGAGCCACAGATGCCTGCGACCCACCTTGTCACTGTCACCCCGTTGACCCATGTCCACTCGGCCAGAGTGTCCAGGCTGTGCCACCCAGCACAGGGACCCTCTCCAGCAGGACCAGAGCCCTGTGGGCCTCCCACTTGGAGGGGACAGTGCCCCAGGGCTGGCTGGGAAAACAGGAGACGTTCGTTTCAGAGCTGTTTTCCAAAGTGACTTAATCAAGTAGCTTCCAGGGCATCAAATCTTCTGGCCAGGCCCTCAGAACCATCCTCACCGTCATCACCGTCACCGCCCCGTTGTTAGACAGCTACCTGCTCACCCACGGGGAGTCATCCCACGACCGCGGGAGCACTCCTGAAATGGCAGATAGAACCCAGCCTGTGTTACAGGCCCTTCAGGAAGTTCATGGGAACACAGGACTGAAAGATAGGTGTGTTTTAGTGTAGAAAAGTGTGGAAGTCCCTGTATCTTCATAATACACATTCTCCAGGAACTATTTGACGACCCTTTGCATGCAGCTCTTTTACAAATTTTGTGCAAAAATAACCTTTTCTTTTGTTTCCATTTTCCATGAACTTTCTAAAGTATCTGCATACTATGTTTTTCCTGTAGATACGTATCTAAGATAAAGTTTAGCTAATGAAGTAGGCGTAAGAGACGAATGATAGCTAATCGTAAAATAGAACAGTTGAAACAATATTCTGTAATGAGAGTCACTCAGAACTTAGGAATCTTCCCTGGGTTTTTTCATTTATTATTTTCTGTGGTTGACTGTGGGCCACTGAAACCTCAGAAAACGGAGCCGCCTTTGAGCTGCTGTGGGGCAGCCTGTCGTGTGCAGAGCCACCCCCGTAGTTCCTGCACGAGAGGCCACACAACCCTGTGGGACACAGACCAGAACTTCCGTTACTCCCGCTTCCTAGGTGAGGGAGTTGAGGCAGAGGCGTGACCAGTAACACATATGCCGTGTCTCAGCTGTAAGTGGAAGAGAGAAAAATCCCCAAGATGCCCTGTGGCCGTGACGTCCCGCGGGCCTGCGCTCACGGCTGTATGATGTGAACTATCTCCTGCAGCTCATTCGCGGGGTCTGTGATGTCGCAAATGCCCAGGACGTTAGAATCTGAACACCAGCTTCCGCAGTCAGCCTGCCCTTGCTGGCCACGTGGCCTTGGTGACGCCCACCCCTGGACGCTTGCTCGGCCTTGGTCCTCCCGCCTGAGAAAGGCAGGGCTGGGCAAATGATCCTCCTCTCCCTTGCAACCCCAAGTCCAAGACTGGCCCTGGGACTGTCTGCCAGCAAACTGGGCCGTCCTGGCTGTCAAAGCATCCCCATCGGGCTCCTGCCAGCATCTCACCCCTTCGCATGACAGCAGTGGACTACCAGGCACTGGGCACTCCTCGTGGCAGGTCCACCCAGAAACCTGGCAAGGCCGGGGCTCGGGGAGCGTGGCCAGGCACTGGACTGCCTGTGCTCATGGTGTAAATGACTTCACCCCTTTAGCTAACTCTTTGAAGGAATGAAACCAGAAACCCCCGTTCCCGAAACCGAAGCCAGGCAGACTGACAGCGTGCTTGGGACTCCTCGTTGGGAAGGAGCGCTCCATGTGTCAGGACAGACAGTTTAATTTGGTGGAGGAGAGATTGTTGTCAGTTTCTAATGGGCAAGAACCAGGAAGAACGCTTCCCTCACCTGTCACCAGAGAACCGGAGCCCAGGAGTCTCCCTGCCTGTCAGTAGGAAACTTGTTACAGGCAGGACTGCAGGAAAGCCGCAGCTTGTACCCTGCCGTGGCACAGTCTCCCATCCTGCTTAATAGTCTTGACAACTACATTTCACTTTTGCTGGTTGTCTGAAGTCTGCGAATGGCCAGAAACCACAGAGAGTTTCCACATCCAGACCCAGGTGTGGACCGTGGATCCACCCAGGGATAATGGTCCAGGCCCCAGGACGAGCGCTGTAAAGGCCCAGTCAGCTTCTGGCTGGTGGACGATGCTGATGGGTGAGGCGGGCAGCCGGGAGGGGAGAAGGGCGTCTCACACAGGGCCTATGTGGGCATTTTGGAGGCCACCTGAGCTCAGGACAGGACTTTGGGCTCTGCCCTTCTTCTGAGCCCTTCTGCTATGACAGGTGTGATGGAGCCAACAAGAAATACGAGGGCCAGGAGGATTTGGGTGCAAAAAAATTTCGTGAGAGCCAGCACTCTGGCCCCAGCATCGTGGGGTCGCGTCGTCTTTCCTCTTTCATGTAATCTTTAGAAATACAACCGCTTAAAAGTCAGGTGAATTTGGACAAGGACATTACACCTGGGCTCAGTATTCTTTTTTTCTCTCTGATGGAAACAACAAATTGTTAAGAAATGTCTTCAGTGCCTTCAAGATAAATAAAGGCTGCAGTTGATAGCTTTCAGAATGTCCAGGAAAAAAAAAAAAATAAGCCGGCGCCGCAGCTCACTAGGCTAATCCTCTGCCTTGCGGCGCCGGCACACCGGGTTCTAGTCCCGGTCGGGGCGCCGGATTCTGTCCCAGTTGCCCCTCTTCCAGGCCAGCTCTCTGCTGTGGCCAGGGAGTGCAGTGGAGGATGGCTCAAGTGCTTGGGCCCTGCACCCCATGGGAGACCAGGATAGGTACCTGGCTCCTGGCTTCGGATCAGCGCGGTGCGCCGGCCGCATGCCAGCCACAGCGGCCATTGGAGGGTGAACCAACGGCAAAAAGGAAGACCTTTCTCTCTCTCTCACTGTCCACTCTGCCTGTCAAAAAAAAAAAAAAGCAGAATGTCCAGGATTCGGGTGATTTTTATGATAACCGGGAGTGAGTCGAGGAGTGCCCAGCGTCTGTAGGTGAGATCTGCATTTAGTTGCTGGGGGGAGGGGAGGGGGGAGACTGAAGGGCAAGGTGGCACCCACCCCCAAACCCCACCCCCATACCTGCTATGGAAGTAAAGTCTTTGCTGCGATTCATAGCCCGAGGCAGACCTAGACAAACTTGCTTTCTAAATATCCCTGTGGCTGCATTGGGACAGCAGGAGTTCTGGCAGCAGGTTTGGAGTGCGAGTCCTCCCGTGTTACCCAGCCTTCACCTGCTGGGTAGAAGTGAGAGTTTAGGTCTCAGGAGCTGTCTCAGAAGTGTCCCCGGGTCTGCATGCTGTCTGACCGCACAGGCGGCCTCTGGAAGGAAGGCACTGGGATGCCGCGGGAAGTGGCTGGACAGATGGACCTCCTGGGAGTGCAGAGCCCCAGGGACCAGACAGGGACGGCCTTCAGGAGGAGAGGGTCACCCTTCTGAGCTGCCTCTGTGTGCCCAGGCCCAGTAAACTCCACGGGGCAGGGGGGGGCACTAATGTAGTCTTCACCAGAGCTGGGGAACACAGGTGCTGGGGTCGCCACCTCTGCAAATGAGTGAAGTGAGCTCCAGAGAAGTGAAGCAGCCGCCTAGGTCAGCGCCAATGGAGCCGGGATTACAGCCCTACGGACAACCGTGGACCCGGGTCAGCGCCGCCAGAGCCGGGATCGCAGCCCTGTGGACAGCCGTGGACCCGGGTCAGCACCGCCGGAGCCGGGATCGCAGCCCCCGGACAGCCGTGGACCCGGGTCAGCGCCGCTGGAGCCGGGATCGCAGTCCCGCGGACAGCCAGCGACCCGGGTCAGCGCCGCTGGAGCCGGGATCGCAGTCCCGCGGACAGCCAGCGACCCGGGTCAGCGCCACTGGAGCCGGGATCGCAGCCCTGCGGACAGCCGTGGACCCGGGTCAGCGCTGCCAGAGCCAGGATCGCAGCCCCGCGGACAGCCGTGGACCCAGGTCAGCCGCCAGAGCCGGGATCGCAGCCCTGCGGACAGCCGTGGACCCGGGTCAGCGCTGCCGGAGCCAGGATTGCAGCCCCGTGGACAGCTGTGGACCTGGGTCAGCGCCGCCACAGCCGGGATTGCAGCCCTACAGACAGCCGTGGACCCAGGTCAGCGCCGACGGAGCCGGGATTGCAGCCCTGCGGACAGCCGTGGACCCGGGTCAGCGCTGCTAGAGCCGGGATCGCAGCTCTGCGGACAGCCGTGGACCTGGGTCAGCCGCCGGAGCCGGGATCGCAGCCCTGTGGACAGCCGTGGACCCGGGTCAGCGCTGCTAGAGCCGGGATCGCAGCTCTGCGGACAGCCGTGGACCCGGGTCAGCGCTGCCGGAGCCAGGATTGCAGCCCCGTGGACAGCTGTGGACCTGGGTCAGCGCCGCCACAGCCGGGATTGCAGCCCTACAGACAGCCGTGGACCCAGGTCAGCGCCGACGGAGCCGGAATTGCAGCCCTGCGGACAGCCGTGGACCCGGGTCAGCGCTGCTAGAGCCGGGATCGCAGCTCTGCGGACAGCCGTGGACCTGGGTCAGCCGCCGGAGCCGGGATCGCAGCCCTGTGGACAGCCCCGGAGCAGGGGCTTGCGCTGACCTGGAGGAGTGCAGACAGCAGAAGTTAGGGAATCAGAGGGATGAAGCCGAGTGTGTGCCAGCATCCTTGGCTCACAGATCACGTTGTCACGGAAGTCCTGCTCTGGTGTAGGAGAGCAGTGGGACAGGGCAGAGGGCCAGCACTGGGTCTGTGGCCTCAGAGCAGCTATGCAGAGAGATGAGGGTGAGGCCGGGCAAGTGTGTGCAGGATGAGGCCACCAAGAGGGGGCTGTGGCAACATCACCGGCATCCTCCCCCCAGGGTGCCTGCACTGCTGGGTGGGGCGCTGGCCGGGCCTCCCACCGGGAGGGCGGCTGTGCGGGACGCTGGCGGGGCCTCCCACCGGGAGGGTGGCTGTGTGGGTCAGACATCTCCATGTGGCTGCGATTCCCAGACTCAGCAACCCAGGCCTTGGTGAATACAGCGAGCCCACCAAAGTGCGGGTCTGACTCACGAGCCAGCCAGACACTGCCTGCACACGGCTGCACACGGCTGTGTGCCTGGGGCTCCAGACCAGACAGCGCAGTACAGAAAAGTCTGCAGGGGCCGTGCAGGGGCCACGCCTCCCCAAACCTTTAGCAAACAGAGAAGCACTAAACTGTGTGCTGCTAAACGCCAGGACCAGGGCTACCGCTGGGTTACCAAGGTGGGCCAGAGGCTGCGCCGAGAGCTACATGTGACCCCTTGTCCCACCCTCCGCGAAACCCAGGACCCAGACAGTGTCGCCCCTGCTTGTTCATTCCTCCAACCGTATACGGAGCGCTTCCCGGAGCCAGGCGCCGAGCTCGGTGCTGGGGACGCAGCAGTCACGGGACGCCCGTGGTTCCTCTTCATGGATGTGGCATCCTGGAAAGTCTTGCCTTACACTTGTGATAAGAATGACCAAGGAAATGAGCAGCGTGTCGGGGACAATAGGCCGGAGACAGGCATCACCATAGCTGTTTCAGCTGATCCTGCAGGAAGCAGGCGGGCACTGGCCAAGGTGACCCGGGAGTGAGAAGCAAGACCATTCCAGACTGCTCTGCACTGCCTCCCATGCAGCCAGGAGGTGGTCAAGCAAATGTGGGCAGCTGCGCCGGGCGGGGCAGGAGGAAAGGCAGGTGGTTCCCACCAAGCCCAGAGGCGGTGATTTCTAAGAGACTAGGAATGTCTGCAAGTTGTTGGTGTGAATGTGGCAGACGCTGTCTCCCAGAAACCCGTGCAAAGATCATTCTTGGTGCAGCTTTCCCTGCAGCATTCATGTTGTGACTTGGGGTCCCTGCATCCCGTATCAGGGTGCCTAGGTTCAAGTCCCTGCTCGGCCTCTGACCCAGCTTCCTACTGGTGTACACCCTGGGAGGCAGCAGACGACGGCTCAAGGACTTGGGTCCCCACCACTCCTCGTGGGAGACCTGGGTGGGGTTCCTGCCTCCTGGCTTTGGCCTGGCCCAGCCCCACTTGCCACGGGTGTTTGGGAGGGAACCAGCGATGAGAGCGCTCTGTGAAAGCAGGAGGTGATGTGAGAAGAGGGAGGGGAAGCTGTTCTGCTCACAGCTTACAAAAATGGTTTCCAGTTTTCTGACAAGCAGACTGCTTTCTGTCCCCCGTCTGTGTGTGTGGAGCAGACGGAAGTGGGGCTGCTGTTGGTCGATGCAGACGGCATGGGCTCTCACTCAGGTTCCACCGTGCTCGTTTTGAAAACCATTAGTTTGCAGCTTGGACAGAGAACTCAGTTTGGGTTGAGAGTGAGGAGAGGAGGCTTGGTGGCAGGTGATGAGGCTTTGGCGTAGACTAGTGGTCAAGTACTTACCTGGGCAAGAAGTGCCGCATTCGCCTGCCCGTGTGCAGCGCCCCTCCCTGGGCGATGCCATGCCCAGCTGTGCCCAGGAAGAGTCAAGTCCCCCTAAAGTGCCTGCTCCCTGCAGCCAGGGAGGGGTCCCCTCCCCATCCCCTGCAGAACAGCCTCCTCTCTGCAGGGTGGTTCCCCTGTGCTCACACAGCAGCCTGGAGGCATGTGTTTCCAGGAGCCCCTGAGGGCAGGGCAGGGTGGCAGGTCCCCTGCAGTCACAGGTCTCTTCCTGTTACAGGCTGAGACCCTTCACCTCCTACAAGCTGCGCCTGAAAGCCACCAACGACATCGGGGACAGCGACTTCAGTGCAGAGACAGAGGCGGTGACCACGCTGCAGGACGGTGAGCAAGTTGCTGCCTCTGAAAGCCGGGGCGCTGACTTCTAGAGAGAGCCCCACGTGTGTCCTGAGCCAGGGTCCCCGGGGCGTGGTGGGGAGCAGCAGATTCCATTAGAAGGCTGGCCAGAGTGCTCCTGCACGTCCCAGGCCGCAGGTCAGGGCTTCGGGGGCTTCCAAATGGAATGGAAGTTTCTTTGATTGGCTTCCAGGGCCCCTACCATGCATTCGCATCCCGGAAATTGAATAATTGATAGGGCCATTAAAAATGAATATCGGCGGGGTGCCTGTGTTTTAAGAGGGTTCCTTGGTTTTTCACTCCCGAGCTGCTGCCTCTGACATTGGCACAAGTAATGGGCAGTGAGACCCTCTCGGAGCTCCAGGCAGTTTCCAGCCCCTCTGTCCCACTTTGAAGAGACTGGGTCTGCAGACTGATGGTCACTGGGTGCGCCGGGTCCTGCCAGGCCCACAGTGAGGCCGCTGCCTCGGACACAGCCGGCGCGGGAGGGAGCAGGGCGGGTGTTGCACACAGACGCTGCAGGGCAGATCCCGCGCGGGAAACCGAGCACTCAGTTCACCCAGCAGTGCTTTATGCCAATCCCCTAACGCTTCCCGAGCGCCGCCTTTTCCATTTAACGCACCACTGGAACCATTTTCCAGTCCACCAGTGTCCAGCCAGCTCACCCCGTGACCCTCGTCTTCACTTCTGTTCTTTTTATAACCTTTGGAAGTTTAGTTTCTCTAACTCGAGGCCTCCTGTGACCTTAGGGACCAGCACGGGGTGGAGGGGACATCGTGAGCTCCTGGAGCTCCCCCTGGGGCGGACACTGCAGGTCCTGCCCCTCGAGGTGTGACGGTTGCCTTGAGATTCATGCTGGATCCCAGACTGTTCCCCGCGCACCAATCTTGGGAGCTTATCAGAGCCAGGGGGAGCCGGGGAGGAGAGAAGCCAGCCAGCGCCTGCCTGTGTACAGCGTCACGGGAAACCACGAGCGAAAGGGTGCCTGGGAACTGGAGCACAAAGCCCAGACGTAGGAACGCCTCCACCCTGATCTCACCTTGAACAGCCGAGGTGACGTTCACAGCGACGCGCTAATTCTTCATCTAAGAAGAGACGCACGACAGGCGGACTGGATTGTCCTGGTGTCTGTGTGGCTGAGATGGAGCCGCCTCTGACGGGGCTGCTGCTTCCAGGGGCCGGTTTCCAAGAGATGCCGGGGCCTCGTGAGGCTGGAGGGCGTCTGCTGATGCTTTGATATTCAGATCAGTGCTTTGATGCACCTGTCTTGTCATCTTCCTCCTCAGATGTGCAGCGTCTGTGCAGTGGGCTCGCCTCGTCTCCCACTCTCAGTCCGAGACGGATGGGCACACACTGGCCGGGGTCGGGGATGCACACTGCATGAGGGCCCGTCCCCTGCAGACTCACTACATGAAGCTGTTGAGGAGGCCCTGTAATTAAGTCCCATGTGACCAGGCCATGTCATGAACCCTGTGGGAGTAGCCCACTGTTAGGACAGAGCAGCAGGTCCAGGGGACATCTGTCCGTCTCTCCGGGGCAGAACTCATAGGGCTGGAGGTGTGGCTGTGCCGGTACAGCCAAGGCTGGGGACCCGAGGAAGGGGCGCTCTGGTGGGTCCAGGGGAAATAACAGATGGTGGCCCAGGGAGCTGTGGGCCCAGGGAGGTGTGGGCATGCGCACAGCATGCGTTGGGTCCACTGAGTCCATATTTATTGAACAATGATACACGTTGGGGCTGTGCTGGGTCTCAGGGGCCTGGCCACCAAGGAGACAGAAGTAGGTGGAGTCAGTGAATCAGGGAGGACCCCATGGATTCAGAGCGGACAGAGAGGCCAGGCTTTCTGGACTTGTGGGATGTGCAGCAGGATTTTCCACAGGCAGAGGTCAAGCCAACCTTGTCCCTGCAGACACTGGAGAATCACGACAGCTCCGCGACCACAGCCGTCCACACCTTTCACCTTGCCCTTCCACCAGCGATGGCCTCCCTCGGTCACAGTCAGGTGCTTCAACCAAGAGCGTGTGACCTGGATCCATCAGTCTGTCCTGTTCAGGCAACTGAGTGCTTCCAAAATGATGTCACTCCCCTCACCCAGATCTGAGCCACAGGAAGGGTCTCTGGGCAGGGCTGGCCGGGTGCACCAGGCTTGGAGTGTGTGGCTTCATGAAGTCCACCAGGGAGCCATGGACACTTCTGGCCGCCTATATCAAGTCAGGGATGGTACCTGGGTACTGCCCTGGTCAGGGATGGGTCTCAGGTTCAGAGGGGGCTGTGGGAGCTCTGAGAGGCCAGGGAGGAGGCCCCACGGATGGGAACAGGCAGGGCTGGGAGCAAGCCCCCCCCGGGGAGGGGTGTGGCAGCAGCTGGCCGGGGAGAGTAGCCGGGATAGCGGGGCCATTCTCTTCCCTGCTTTCTTCTTGTGTGCCTTTCAGTCCCAGGAGAGCCTCCAGGGTCCGTCTCTGCGACGCCGCACACCACCTCCTCGGTTCTGATCCAGTGGCAGGTAAGAGCCGGGCAGCCGCGGGTGTCCCTGAAGCCCATCCCCATTCCTGTGCCTGCCGTACCCTGATAAGCACTGGAGTGCAGGGCCAAGGAACAGCAGAGGGAAGGTGGGGTCAAGCACAACGCCTGGACGGCAAAACTGCCCTGCAAGGCATGCGCAGCGTGAGCTTGTCCTGGGCTCACGCGGGAGGAGCCTTCGGTCAGTGAGCCCTGCTCAAAGCCAAGGCCTCTGGGCTTGGGCCTGCTGGCAGTCCCCGCTCTGGGGGGTGGGCCGCCAGCACCAACGGGATCATTCCAGTGGCCTTGGGGAGGGCGGGGGGGCGGTGGAGGAGGCGTCTGTGCTACATGCGAAATTGGCTCATGTCCTCGGGGCGTCCAACTCTAGCCCTTGGAGGTATCATTTCCAGAGAAATCGTTCACAGCCAGACATAGCACCTGCAGGATTATATATATTTTCACCAAGTCCAGGTCTGGAATCTCAAACCAAGGCCCGTCTTCTGAGATAAACAATCCTTGCTTTGGCTGCTAAACAGTGCTCCAAGATGGCGTCGAAAGCACGTATCACCCACTCTGCCTGATTTCTCCTTCTGGGCAATATTTGTTCTCAGAGGAGTGCCCTGAGGATGAGAGCAGCAGAGGGGAGAGCTGCCCAGGAGGGGCAGAGCCCAGGGGAGCCCTGCTGACCAGTCTGCAGGACAGAGGCTCCCAGAGGCCTGGAGGAGTAGGGGCAGGGCAGGGGCTGGGGTCAGGGCCAATGTTGCGTTCCCTCAGGGCACTGCAGACATTTGGAAGGGGCCAGGGTGGAGGTACCGAAGGCACAGGCAAGTTCCTGAGGCCAGATTGGGGTGCGGGGTGGGGTGGGGGGCTGCAGGCAAAGGCAGTGCTGTGGTCTGGGCCGGGTCAGTCCAGGTGGCTGTGAGCTGGGGATGAACAGAAGTCTGGGAGTCACAGGAGACGTCCTTGAGGTTGGTGGCATTATCAGAGACAGCTGCGGCAGCGTGAGAGCCGGTGGGGAGGAGGGGTGCGTGTTAGGAGTCAAGGGACAGAGGGACCTGGGTGATGCTGAAAATCACAAGTGGTCTGCGTGGGGCCTGAGGGAAGCGGGAATCACACACAGTCCTGTGGACCCGGAGGGAGTGGGCAGACAGGGAGAGCAGTGCTGAGGGCCCGAGAAGCCGCCAGGAAGTTGTCCCAGAGACTGTTCCCGTGGGGGCCCTGAGGATGGGGGCTCCGGAGGCAAGGAGGAGGGAGGGAGGCCTGAGGCTGGTGACTGAGAGGCGCCTGTAGTGCCTGGGCAGACAGGGAGCTGGGGATGGCCTCTGAGCAGGACTGGGCCCTACAGAAGAGAGGCGTGCAGGTGGGCAGCACCGCAGCCTGGGACTGTTGTGTCACAGCCTCCCTGGGTGTGACCCTGGACTGGCAGGCGCTGGAGGCGCGGGCAGGCGGGTGTTGGAGGAGCCACTTAAAGTGCTGCTGACCGTGCGGTTGGCGCCGCTGTCCTCCGGGAGATTCTTCTCTACTTCTCTTGTGACGGTGACTTCGGTGAGCACCAGGGAGAGTCCATGGTGAAGGAGTGAGGGAGAGTGACAGGTCCATCTGCACAGGACCAGGCACTGCCGCCTGGAGGCGGGACGGTGGGCGGGACTGGAATCCACTGTTTTCCAGTATCACGGGGCCCGCTGGCTGCTTCCTGGCCTCCTTTCTGGACATCACAGGAACCTTCCGAGGGATAAGAAGGCATTGCCCAGTGCCTTCCAGGAACGCCGTGCCGGGACACTCGCCCTTCCCTGGGCCTGAGTGGGGGCAGAAGCCCGGCTTCTGCCCCGCTCGTCACCAGATGGCAGAGACCCTGGAATCCTCTCCGGCTCCAGGTCCTGCCCTATAGAACCTGGAGGTCGAAGCTGACCTCTGAGGTCTCGTGCAGGATCTCTGGTCCTGGAGGCCCTCACCTCCCCAGTCCCTGCTTCAGCCCAGACTTCCATCAGGGCCTTTGGTGGCAGGCAGGAAACAATCAAAATGGAAATTCAAGGGCCTGAGCCCTTGGTTTCCCACCCTCCACCGGCACAATCAGCCTGGAGGAGATTGGCTCTTTGTGCTGTGCTAAATTCTGCCAGGAAATTAGCATTTTCTTTGTAGATGGAGTTGGCCTGCCAGTGACTAGGTAGGCTCCTTCTCTACAAAGGCGGCGAGTGCTCCCTGGGGGTGAGACGTGGGCTCTTCCCCACAAGTGGCTCCGAACAGGAGCAGGCCGGGGAGCTGACCAGCTGACCCGTCTTCCAGGCAGGGCTCCAGCCCCCAGGGGCCGGCCCGGCTTTTGTGAGTGTCGGCTGTCCCGCCTCAGAGCCCAGCAGAGCAAGCCAGTCGCAAGAGGCCCAGAACAGGAGGCAGTCAATATCACGTATTGTGCAAATAAATGCCTGTCAACTGCCAGGCAATTGCAGCAAAATTAAAATTAGGAGTAATTTACTAAGAAAAGCAGAACAAAGCCAAAGAAACGAGGTTTAAATATAGATTTGCATTCCATGTGAAATGTTTCACCTGTAAACCCCTTTCCCCCGCCCCCCGGGAATTTGTTTGAAACACACCTCCTGCTGTAATCTCCAGGCTGCGCACCCCTCCGCCACCTCCCCACCGTGCTCCGTCAGCTCTGTAGTCAATCTTTACCTTTCACGGGGTCCAGTTCTGTCTGAAATCTAAGGACGTGAGCGTGCGCTCCCCACAGCGGTGGCACTGTATGCGCCGAGTGCCACTCCTGTTTCCGACTTGATCATAGCATTTCCGCCGCTGTCCTAAAACCTGCAGCGGGTCACCCTGCCTGCCGCTCAAAGCAGCCCCCTCCCCCGCCCCGTGCCTCTGCCCGGCTCTCAGTGGATTTGGAAGCTGTGCCGCAGCTAAAGAACACGCCAAGCAGGAGATGGCGTGGCGCCTGCGGCTGTCGAGGCCATGTGCTCCGCCTTGTCACAGGCGCCTTCCCTGGTGTCTGGGCTGCCAGGCCGGGCAGGCAAGAGGCCCCGGGGCACTGTGGGCCTTGTCTTGAGGTCGTTCCTCTTTGTCCACTGGCCACGCTGTGGCAGAGGACCAGATCCTGAGCAGCACAGTGGTGAGGGAGCTTGCTGTGGTATTGTTGGCGCAGTGGAAGGGCAGGAATGGGAGGGACAACTGCAAGTGCCCGGCTGGTCGGGCCTCCTGCGTGAGAGGCCAGGAGAAGGCCCGGCCCAGACGGGCTCAGCGGTGTTGATGCTGCGGTGCCAGGGAAGGCGCCTGGGGCCTCCTGTGCGCCCCTGAACCACTGGCGCTCACTCCCAGAGGGAGCCCCATGCGACCCTCCAGGAAGTGGGAGCTGTGGGAACATGAAGTGAGCACTCGGACTCCAGGGACCACGGCAGTCGCGTTAGATTTGGTCTCGAACTCCAGCTCTGCCTTGTACTCCCCATGAGGCCCTGGGAGTGTGGTTGAACCTCCCAAAGCCCGCAGCTTAGAAGGAGGCAGGCAGGCCCTGCCCTAGCCTACTCTCCATCTGAACCAAGAGGGAGCTGGTTGCCCATGATACAGTGCAGAGAGCAGCATGGGGCGGGGCTTGCAGACAGCTCGAGGAGGGGTCGTCCTGGAGTCCTGCCTGCCTGCCCACTATCCAAGCTCTCCTTGCTTTTTAACCCTACTGCCCCGGGACGTCCTGTCCTCCCAGGTCTTCCCCAGCTCACTGGCCTCTTCTCGCCAGCTATGTCGGGTGAGGACCAGGTGCCTGTATCTGAACAGTGGGCCTCTGAGAACTAAGAGACTGTGGAGCCTATGGTAGGCACCACAGGCAGTGAGCGCACTGGTTGAAGGTGGCTTCCCAGTGCTCTCCACGTGTCTGCACAGCCACACGGCCCATCCAGGATGAGATCAGGTGTGGCTGGGGTCATGACGTCAAACCCCAGCAAATCCACTCAAGTCCCCAGCTTTGACTGAGCACCTGCTGTGTCCCTGGCCCATCCCAGGCACTGTGTGGACTAGAGGAAGGAACAGTGCTCAGACACACCTCGCCATCTGGGGCGTGGTCTGAAAGTCAGGCACAGCCTGGTGCAAGCACTGTGGGTGTGAAGGGAAACCTGTGTTTGGGGGCCATCCAGTCAGACTCCTCCAGTCATGGCTCCATAGTGGAGGCTGAGCAACAGCCAAGCCCACACATGGGTGTGTGTGGGTGTGTGTGTGTGTGTGTAGGGGGAGCAGGGGTATCACAGAGTCACGGCTTGAATCCAGAACCTGAGCCTGGCAGGCCCTCCATGAACCCCCATTACACACAGCTGCCTGGCTGGCTCTGAGGGCCTCTGGAGCCTGGGCCCTCTCTCACGTGTCACACTAGGTGTGTCCCAAACACCGGAAGTAGAAACCAGAGTCCCATGTGGGAATCTTTGCACATCTCTACAATTCCCAAGCCCCGGGTCAGTGAACTCCATTGGCAAGAGAGGTGTCAACTGCACCTTTAAAACAACCATGCTCTGAGCGGTGGCCACCTGTGCCCCTCCCCAGGCCTGGGAGGCTCCTGTTGGGAGGAGGACAGCCTGCCCTGTAGGTGCCCTGGGAGTTCTGTGGACAACCTGGCCTGCTGGCAAATGCAGACACAGCAGGGGACCAGGAGGGGCTCTGGCCTCCCCTACTGCCTCTAAAGCAGAAATATCTGTGAGTGCAGGGTCAGTAACCCTGAGCACCCCCAACCCGCTCCCAGCCCCCAGAGTATGGTCACAGCTGCTGGAGACAGAGTGTGGCTGTCATTTACTCCTTAGTAAATGAGTTCGTTCTTCTTTTCCGAGCCTCCAGCTTCTTGCCTGTTCTATTTTGTTGGATTGAATCCAGTCCTCCCCGCCCCACCGGAGCGTCCCTTCTTCCTGCAAAATAAATTGCTACTGTCTGTGACCCCGTCCGCTGCAGGGGTACCTGCAGAGCTGGCCAGGAGCCCTGCAGTCCTCCCGCGGAGGTCCCAGTGCCTGAAGCGGCCACAGCCATCATCTGGGACGGAGAGGGAGGCTTTGAAGGTGGCCCTGGGCTGGAACTGCCAAGCCGGCACATATCAGAGACCCAGCTGCTGACCTGTGATCTGCCCTCTCGCCTCTCTCTCTCCTCACCTACTGGAGTCAGTCCAGGGCCTGGAAATGGACGCATGAGTGTCTCCTCACTGCCCAGGCCCCTGCACACGCTAGGGCAGGGTCCAGCATCTCTCAGCAGGACTGTCTGGTGTCACCTTGCAGACAGGAGCCGGAACCAGAAAGTGGGCTCCCCGGAGTCCAGCCACGTGCCGAGGGTTTCGAGCAGGGACACTGCTCTGTCTGTTGTCAAGGCCCAGGAATGCAAGGAAGGCTTGCTGTCCCTCGTTCAGTAAAGGCTCCTCACCTGGCATCTCCCAGGAGCCCTTGTTACCCAAATAGCAGAGCTGCAGGCACCAGGTGAGCGCACCCATGCTCTCAGTGGGCTTGGGAGAAGCCTCATCCTGGCCACTCTCCTGAGCTCCGCTTGAGGTCCTCCTCGGAGCACTCCCTCTGGGAAATGGCACAAGACCTGGCTGAGCCCTGGTCAGCCCTGGGAACTGTTCCCTAGTGTGTGACACAGGCCCTGGCTGAGCCCTGGACACTGTTCCCTAGTGTGTGACACAGGCCCTGGCTGAGCCCTGGACACTGTTCCCTAGTGTGTGACACAGGCCCTGGCTGAGTCCTGGACACTGTTCCCTAGTGTGTGACACAGGCCCTGGCTGAGTCCTGGACACTGTTCCCTAGTGTGTGACACAGGCCCTGATCCCGCCCTGGACACTGTTCCCTAGTGTGTGACACAGGTCCTGGCTGAGCCCTGGTCAGCCCTGGGATCTGTTCCCTAGCTGATGTTCCCCCTGAACATGTCCTTCCGTTCCCCTTCACGTGCTCCCATCCTGTCTGCGGCCCCTCCTCCCTCATTTGAAGCCCCTGCCCCCATGAGGACAGCCACGTCTTTCCTCAGTGACTCATTTTCCTCCCTCTGAGGCCCTGCAGGGCCCTCCTCCCCCTCCCCAGCACAGGAGCCTCACAGCCCGGGAGCTCTCAGACTTGCAGAGCCCCACCCTGTTCCGCATTCACTCAAAGACTCTGCCCTGTGTCCATATCGGGTCGCTGGGTGGGCACACGGGCACAGCGACCTTTCTGGTAGCCTGAGCCCCACCCTCCTCACCACCAGGGGCTGCCTGCCCGCTTTCGGGAGCCCCCTCTATGCAGTGACCTGGTGACATGCAGGACAAAAGCCTTGGAGTCTGGGGCTGACTCAGTCGGGAATCTCTGTGGCAAGCCCTCCCTCCTTCTGCCCCTGCTGCCCAGTGCAGATGGGGTGTGGAAGGTGCCCCCTTGGCCCTCACACACTCACTTTCCCACCGGCTGCCATCCTGGTTCTTTCAGAAGGGCTACAGTGTGGCAGTATTTGAAGTTTAAGTCTCAAGTGCAGCCCATAAGGAAACCAGGCCCAGAGCTGAAACAGCAAATAGCAGCACCCCATATGGGCATCCACGTGTGCTGTGAACATACATGATGCACACCACGCGTGGTTCCCGTCTCTGTCCCCACACATGTCAGGACACAGCTCTGCAACTGACTGCCCGGGCCTGGGCACACCCAGCCAGGAGATGCCCCGGCGAGTGCTGGCTCGATTCGTGTTTGTTTGACCAGCTCTGTTACCGTGAAGGCCTCCGACAACTATTCCCACCCGTAGGTCATGCGGGGGGGCAAAGGGGTGGCCAGCCATGGTTGAATCTCAGAACAGCAACGGCGAGGCTCACCGTTAGCTGGGTGCCCTGTGTTTTTGCTGATGGAACCTGGTGGTTCCAGGAGGAAGAAAGCAGGAAACAAAAGAGTCCCTCTGGCGTCTGGGTCCCTGGGTTCTGGGTCAATGGCTGTGGCCTGGGAACACCCGGGTGTCCAGCAAGTGTGCCTAGCATGGCTGGGCCCAGAGGGGCTGGGCTGGAGGCTCCCCGTGCTGCTGGTGATGCCAGTAGAAGGAAAAGACAGAACAGAGAGGCCTCGCCAGCCCCCACTGTCCATTTGAGAGCCAAGGCAACTGGACACCCGGAAGCTCCATCCTGCCCTCGTCCACGGTGGGCAGCCGGAGAACCCGTGCAGCCTCTCTGCGAAGCTGGGGGGCACTGTGGAGGTGGCTGACTCAGATCTGTGGGGTCTGACTCCCCAGGCCAGGGGGAGGAGCGGCAGGCAGGCTGGCTGTGTGTTTGCGGAGTCCTCCTGAAATGCAGCATTAAGGGCTAGCAAGCCCCATAGCTTCCCTGTGAACCAGCGTGCATCTGGGGCGGGCTGTGTACCACGGGGCTCTTCCTGGGTAGGGGGCACCCCAAGACTTAGGAAGTGCCTGGAGATGGGCCGCACAGCGAGGGCCCTGGGGCTGCTGGAGTGACCTCTCACTTTTAAAAAACATCCTGACTGTGCCTTGTCCATGCCTCAGGCCCACGTGCCAGTGCTGAGCGTGGCACATCGGCCCTCCCAGGCCTCGCTCTCTGCTGTTGTGTGGGGGAGTTCAGAGGGCAAAGCAGACCGTGTTCTGCAAATCTGGGGTCAGGAGCAGAGGAGTTCAATGAGGATGCCATCGCGTGCTTTTGGGGCCTGGGTTCAGAAACAGAAACGGAGGGCAAGGGTGGGGATGGCCAAGGCCTGGATGTCACAGTACTGTGACAAAGTGTCACTCACGAGGCGGCTGGCCCCACAGCTGTGGCTGCACAGGCCTGCCGGGAGTCCCCGCTCCTTCGGCAGGCAGCCTGGTCTTGATGGGGGTCTGAGCCCTGCAGATCTGTGTAGACTGCAGCAAGAGCTGATGCTCCGTCCCCTCATCCACAGACCCTTTGGGCTCATTCCACTGGGTTCTCAACAGGGTGAGCGCATGGACTAGCGCCAGCCCGTCTCAAGCCAGTGCCAGCGGAGGTGCAGTGGGGATTCCCACCTTGGGTCTGATTTGGTGGAGCGGGATGACCTGGCACGTGGAGAGTCAGTGAGACCACCACAAGCCGGGCGGCCAGGGGATGGCCAGGGTGCGTCCAGCCAGCACAGGAGGTGGAGCTGGCCGTTTCCCACGTTCCCTCCATGTCCTGGGCTTACCTCCCAGGGGGTCACCTCCTCACCACCAGCGAGGGCCCTGCTATCCTGCCCCCGCCTTGGGGTGTTTTGCAGACTTGAGCCACACAGGGTCTGGACGTCCACATTCCCCCCACACATATACCCTGGAGGGCGGAGGTGTGAGGACGGGCTCCATGGTGCAGATCTGTGCCTGGGAGGCTTCTCTGGCTCCTGCTCGCGAGTCTCACGCCTCCCCCTCTGTGTTGCTAACAAGCAAGACCTGGGGAGGTGAAGGAGGCCACGCTGGGGTGGAGGCCGCAGGCTGAGTCGTCCGATGTCTTTGCAGCCTCCACGGGACGAGTCCCTGAACGGCCTTCTCCAGGGCTACAGGATCTACTACCGGGAGCTCGAGTCCGAGGCGGGCTCAGGCCTTGAGGCCAAGACGCTCAAAAGCCCTTCCGCTTTGCGAGCCGAGCTCACAGGTGAGCACGTCCCCCATCCTGGCTCAGACCCCGTGCAGGTGTGAGGTGGGCAGCCGGGCAGGCCCTGGGGCCTTGTGCAGCCGGACGAGTACTCAAGGAGAAGCAGTGCTGCTGGCCTGGTGGCAATGGCTCCGGGGGACCCCTGCACCCCCACCCTCGTCTCAAGGACCCATCAGTCCAAGTGCAGGCTCTTCCTCTCTGTCGCAGTGCGTGACCTCAAGGTGGACCTGAGCCTCTTCCATCTCCAGGCTGGCCTGCTCTGGCTGCAGCACGCCTCACTCTCTCTGGGAAGGAGGCTGGAGGGTTTCATTCCCTGATGTTCCCTTCAGACAGCGCCACAGAAAATGACATCCTTGTGCTGGGACAGAGTCGGGGAGCAGCTCCAGGGAGAGCCCCTGTGCGGCTGCTGTCTTGCTCTCTGCCACCTCCGTGGTATCAGGAGGCCACCCTGCCTTCCGTGGTTAGCTCGTGCCCCTTGGACCCCGACTGCACACGTGAGCTTCCTGAAGCTGACGGCCCTGCCTCCTGGGAAACCCATGTCCCTGTCCTCCCCCGCTGGCACGATGGCGTGCCAAGTACCTTCCATGTTCCATTCAGCCGGAGGCCAAACACATGCCCGCTGCCTCAGGTGGGGGTCTTGCTGCTTCAGGAAGAGGCTCGGGCACCCCTGGAGCTGGTAGGGAGCAGGCAGGTGGCGGCTCGGGCTTCACTGCCCGTGGAAGTGTGGCGCGGAGCCGAGCAGTTGGTTCCATGTGTCACCTGCAGCGGCTGTGTCCCCGTGTGCTAACTGTCTTTCTGCTTTGCTTACCCCTGATAGCCCAGAGCAGCTTCAAGACCGTGAACAGCAGCTCCACGTTAACAACGTATGAATTAACACGTAAGTGCACACTGCCTGCCTTGGAGGCCTCCTGACCACTTGCACCCATTGCCGATTGGCCCCCCAGTGGACCTGGGGAAACCACCTTGGAGTAATGACTCTCATTTCTGGAATCCTCCCTCTTGGTGTGCTAACCCAGTCACAGATGGGGAGCAGGGCTTCAGGAAATGGGGGCCGGGACAACTTGCTGGCATGCGATCTTGGAGTCGGGGACAGGGAGGAAGTCTCATTGGGCACGACTGCCCCACTCACCTCAACGTTTTATTTTAACTGTCTTTTACTGTGCTAATGTAGTGTACTATTTTCGCCATCTTTACATACACAGTTCAGGGGCACCAAGCACACCAGCCACCCTCTATGTCCAGAACTGCATTTTCAAAGACTGGCACTCTGCTCCCATTAAGCACCAGCCCCTGGCAGCCAGCATCGTCCCCTCTGTGTCTGGGTTTGGAAACCCCAGGAATCTCATAGGAGGGAACTGTATACTACTGAACATAGCATCCCAAGGTCATCGGTGTTGTAGCAGGTGCCAGACGGAATTCCCTGCCATTTTAGGGCTGAGTGGTGCTCTGTGTTGCTCATCCAACCATCCTCCCTTCAACTGTAATCGATTGTGTGGCTTCCCCTTTGACTCTTGGCTGCAGAAGGTTCCCAGACCCAAGTGTGGGGCTTGGGAGGTCCCATAGCAGGGTTCACTTCAGTGCAGCTCCCTTGCTGGATTAGGGAGTAGGTAGGGAAGGAGGAGGAGCCCTTTCTAAGCCCCCATGCCCAGGTGTTCTTCACGCACCTTGTCAACAGCATCCCGTTCCATCTGCCTGCCACTCTTCGGGCAGCTAGCCCAGCCCAGGTGTGGCCAGACAGGTTCACACCAAGTCTGTGTCTGCCCCTGCTCTCCAAAGTGTTGCTTTGGCCATTGGCCCCCTTGCTCTCTCGCACACCCGTGACTCAACCCCTCACTCACTCGTGATCCCACAACACCAAGTGTCCACCCAGACGTCTCCTTGGCTGAGGAGCAAGTGGAGTCAGACCGCGGACCAGCTCAGTGCTCAGGGCTCCTGAGCCAGACCTCGCTCCGGCTTTTCCGTCCCGTGTAATGAAAATGAAAGGGGACAGTCTCTTCCACACCCCCACTCATGGGTGACGGGCACCCAGGACTCAGCAGCCACATGGGTCCCAGGGTAAGACTTACAAGCTCACAGCCACTGCGAGCTGCTTGTAAGACAGCATAACCAAAAAATAAAAAATACAAAAAATTTTTAAAAAGCCGGCGCCGCGGCCCACTAGGCTAATCCTCCGCCTGTGGCGCCAGCACCCCGGGTTCTAGTCCCGGTTGGGGCACCAGTTCTGCCCCGGTTGCTCCTCTCCCATTCCAGCTCTCTGCTGTGGCCCGGGAGTGCAGTGGAGGATGGCCCAAGTGCTTGGGCCCTGCACCCCATGGGAGACCAGGAGAAGCACCTGGCTCCTGGCTTCGGATCAATGCAGCGCGTGGGCCATAGTGGCCATTTGAGGGGTGAACCAACGGAGAAAGGAAGACCTTTCTCTCTGTTTCTCTCTCTCTCTCTCTCACTAACTCTACTTGTCAACAAATAAATAAATAAATAAAAAAGACAGCATAGCCCTGGAGGGACCCAGAGTAGGACAGGCCGGACCCCAGTCAGCCACGTGGGCGGAGCTATGCACATGTTCCTTGGAAGCCAAGAGGACAGGACCTTGGCATTCGATTCTCTGAGCTCCGCTGAGCTCATGGCAGCTGGGAGGTGGATGTGAAGGCTGAGGCCGGTCGGCGTCCCCACCAGCACCCAGCCTCAGACACACAGCTGTGTTAGCCGGGAGTGGACGCTCCCAGTTCTCTGGCCACGCCTCTCACTGCAGACCTCGGCCTGACCCGGGCGGTGCCCACCCCTTTTCACAGTCGTCGAAAGATCAGAGGCTTTACAAGTGAGATTCACTCAAGTCTTTTGTTTTTCTTAAATTTGTTTTAAATGCTTCGCCATGGCAGGGGTGCTTGGGTCACACCCAGGAGAAGCATCGGGTAGCGTGGGGTGTTGGCAGTAGGTGTGGGTGCATCTCCCAGAGAAAAGCCTGCCCCCCCCCTTCCTTGTGGCTCACGGAGGGGACGTTGTAGGAAGGACGGCAGCCCTGGAGCAAGCTGACCCCTGTCTCCCTGAACTTTGCAGATCTGAAGAAGTACAGGCGCTATGAAGTGATCATGACCGCCTATAACATCATCGGCGAGAGCCCAGCCAGCGCACCTGTGGAGGTCTTTGTCGGCGAGGCCGGTAAGCTCTGAGTGCCCCTAACCCCACGGCCGGTGAGGGCCACAGCCATGGGCGTAGCCAAGAGCTCTGTGGCCAAGCGTCTCAGGCGTCAAGCAGTGTCCTCCCGTCCTGAATGTGTTTGGAGTCAAACCCATGGCTAGAGGTTTGGCTCGGCGCAGAGCTGAGTGACGACCACTCCTGTTCGTTGTGACTTTGCCCTACAGGGGTGATGTCGGGAGGAGCCAGGTGTGGGGGAGCAGAGGCCACAGTGTCTGAAGGGGCGGGCGGTTGGGTCTCAGCTCCCGGCTGTCCCTTGCCAGGCTTCGCCGTGGCCCAGTGACTGGGTTCACCTGATGTCCGGCAACAGCCTGCTCCCAGGTCTCCGAAAGCCACGTGATGATGGCTTTTGCCCCTGTGAGAGAAGTTTGATCCAAGGACCTGTCCCCTCTGAGGGGTGAATGTCCCTATAGTGAGATGTGATGTCAAGTGTTAGGTCCAGCGCACTTCCTCCTCCTCCCCCCCAGTGTGCTCAGGAAATGAGAGCCACCCCTGCCTCTGGCCACAGGCGCCCTGCCCCAAGAGGACCCCCCACCCCCGACAGATTTAAAGACTTCCTGCAGCTTAGCATAGTGCCTGGTGCCTCTGCTCAGATCTGCTGATGTGGATTCCGGAAGGTGGTACCTCGGCCCGGAGTGACAGTGGAGACCCCGCCCTGCAGGAGATGCGGGGGGCGGGGGGAGGGGCGGTGCTGGACCAGGGGCTAGGAACGCATCAGGTGACCTTGCAGTTTGGAGGGGTAATTGTTATTAACCAGTCGAGTTCCAAAGATCTGCCGTGGCAGTCCCCCGCCCCCCACCCCGCCCCGAATGGCCCATCAATTTGCATACAGGTGAGGACAGCAGCAGCATACGTCATTTCCGCCTTTCTTTGCATGGAAATGTGTCCAGAGGGGTTGTCCAGAGCATTGGCAGTGGGGGCCGGGCGTTCCAGTAGGGATGGGCCTGGCCACAGAGGAGCCACGTGAGGCACAGGAGAGGCACAGGCTGGGGAGGGGACATCACAAGTTGCTATCGCTGAGGTCCCCGAATATGACAGATGATGTCATCTGTGCCTGGACCAGGTGGGTGAGATCTGAGGTGGGAGGATTCCCAGAGGAGAGCAGGGCACTGCCGAGTGTCCGCTGTGACACTGATGGGCAGTTTGCCCAAGAGGCCAGAACTCTACCTGGGCAGAGGTGCAGACCGTGTGTGTGAGTGCCCAGTGGCGTCTCCAGGCCCGGCGCTGTGTCCCCAGTGCCCTGGTGCTATGGAGATATGAAGGACCCCGTGTCCAGCCCTCAGACCTTCCCCATTTCTGGACAGACCCCTGCTTTCAGGATAGGACTGTGCACCAGCCCTGGGCCCAGGCCGCCTGCCCACCCTGCTGTGTGTTCCGTCCTCATGAGCCTGGCCTCTGCACCTGCACATGCTGTGTCTGCAGGAATCATGCCTGTGGCTGGGAAGCCTCCTAGGCCCCCGTGGAGACAGCTTCCATGATAGCCCCTCCTGGATCCCCCGTCTTGTCTCCCGGGACAGACTGGGTGCTCCTCCCTGTGTTTCCGAACACGCTGTGCACACAGCACTTTGCACTTTGCTCTGTGGCCTGCTCTGGTCTCCTGCTGTCAGTAGGGCAGCAGCACCTTCTGGTTCAGCCCAGAAGCTGGGTGCTCAGTAGGTCAGCAGGGGCCCTGGGATTTGAAGGCAGGACAGGGGAGAGGAAGAGAGAACACACCTGGGTAGAAAGGAAAGGAATAGGGTAGCGTGGCCCAGGACACAGGCGCCAGTGCCCAGGAGTACCCGACAGTGACACCAGGCTCCCGTCTAGACCAGTGACACTGTGACCCCAGGGCTCCCTTCTAGCCAAGGGCCGTGAGCTCAGGGAATGGAGCTGACCCCAGAGCCCAGGAGGTCAGGAGGGCGGAGGAGGCTCCTGTTAGAAGGGGCTGAGCCCCGTGGCTGGCAGCTGTCCCCCGTTCAATCCCCAGGGGCTCTGGACACAGGAGGGCTTCAGACAAACAGGGCAGAGCTGAGCAGAGCTGCCCACCTCCCAGGAAAGCCCAAGGCCTCCGTTCAGGTTGTTAACGCACGCTGACCACACCGGTCCAGCCCCACACGTGTGCGGACAGTTGATGGCAGGCAGGGTCCTGGAGGCAGAACACGTGAGCCCCAAGTGGGAGGTGGCAGGGCCTGCTCTGCCTGAGTGGGGACCCCGCACACCCTCTTCTCTGCTTTTTTTTTTAAATCTCTAGGGTGGGTTCTCTTGAGCTCCAGTCAGAGGCAGCTGTCTCCTCCCCCAGAAAAGGGGGCCTTGTTCCTTGGATGCACCTGTGGCCTCGTGGTCTCTGCACCCCAAGTGCGTTCCTGAGCCCCCTCCCGCCGGCTGAGCAGCCCTTCTCCCCACCCTATCCTGGCTGCTGCTTTCTCCCATTGTAAATCCTTCCTGTTTGTTTGGGAAAGATTTGTCTCCCCACTGTCTCACATACGATTCAATGCCAGGGATGATTCGGGGTCGTTCAGAAGATAAACTGAGTCACTCTGCACGTGTAAGGATGAGCAACAGCCGTTTACGAAGTGGGCAGCAGAGGGGCCTCCAGTGTGCCATGGAGCCAGGCAAAGAGAACTGGCTTTGGAGTCCCCTGTGGCTCATGACTGGCTAAGCCTGGTTCATTTTTCATGAACACAAGTGCTTACAAGACGGAGCCCAGGTTACCTGGCGTCTGTGTTTGCAAGTCTCACAAGGCCAAGCGTCCTGCACGGCCGATCCGGCCCTGTGTGCTCAGGGGATCTCCGGCCCGTCTCTGCTTTGTCTCATTTTGATGGATGCCATGTTTTCAGTAGATTTTTAAGAGCTCCTTATGTGTCAGGGATATCACGTTTGATCTCATTTGGGGCAAATAGTTTTCCGTTTCTGGTGCTTGTCTAATTTTATTGTGTTTAAACAGTATGGTCCAACTTCTACACCTGCTTCATCTCCACTTCCCATCAGAAACTTGGCAAATACCCAGATTTCCTTCTGGGTTTTGGGGCTTCATTTTTTTCCGTTTAACTCTGTAAACCAGTTGTGGTACCTCGGTGAAAGGTGGGCTTCTAAGTAGATCATTTGCTTCCAGGAGACACCCCCACCCCGACCCCGGTACCGGCTATTAATTGATTCTGCCTTTGTGACGTGTCTTGGTCCCATTTGAGACCCCTGGACACAGCCAGGTGTGAGTGAGCGCTTTCCTTAGCTCTGCAGGCACCTCTCCTAGTGCCTGGGCACCACCGCAGCCCTGCCCACACACCACTGGGTACATGTGCACCCTGTTTCCCAGAGCTGTGGTGGTCTTGCCTGATTCCCAGATGCCGCAGCTGGTCTGGGAGCTTCACAGCAGGTTCACTTGAGGCTGTGGTGGGAAGTTCATTAAGTACGTGAGTGGACGTGGACCTTCCCGGCATTCTCATCCTACCCATAGCTCCTCTCCTGGACTGGGCCTGTCTTTCCTTTCCCTGGCGGGACTGGCAGTGCCCTCGGCATGAATCTTGCCCGTTACCGACTGGGTCATCCTCGCATTGCACTGTGGTCGCTGCTGTGGACCCAGGTATTGTCCAGATGTGTCCGCTCCCCACGCACAGCAGACCACAGCCGCGGGCTGAGACTGACCTCACTACTGAGGCACAGGTGGTGCTACGCGCAGCCGGAAAGAACGGCAGCTCTCTCGGTTCTCTGGAAAAGGGAGCCCAGGCCTGCCTCATCCCTGCACCTGCTGGAGCAGCTGCCAATGCCAGGGCAGCGGCCTGGCCTCCAGCAGCCCAGCCCAGCTTGCACCCGGAAGGAAACCTGGGCACATGAGCTCAGGAGCGGTGTCCACTCAAGGCTGTGGGTGGGGCTGGAGCGTTGGTGTGTGCGCTGCTTTGGGAGACAGCCGCGTCCTGAAAACACGGCTTTGCTGTTCCTTTCACTGGCAGACTGTGGGGGTTATTTTTCTTGTAAATTCTCCAAGTCTCTAATAACTCTTGGTTGGGACCGGAGGAAAACAGCCAAGGCCCCCGCTGTGGTTGCTGCCCCTGGTGACGGAGGAAGCCAGCCCCAGCCCCAAGGCAGCGGAATGAAGAGGACCCAGGGCCGTGCTCCTCTGAGAGCACACGTTCACAATGAGCAGAGGCCGCGGCTGTTTTCGGGTAGTGGGCGTGGCCGTCCACGTCTCAGGGCCACGGTGTCTGGTCACTGCCACTCTGCAGGAGCGCGAAGCAGTAACCCCTCCCTCCCGGGGGCCCCAGGCCCTGTGCTGACGCAGTGGGTAGGGAGACGCAGCCTTGCGTGTGGACTCTTGGGAACAATTCACATCACGGGCGCCAGCAAGAATCCATGTCTCCGCGTCACGGGGGAGTTGCCAGCCTGCGTCCTGAGTCTGCGGGCACAGGGCTCTGCAGGCTCCTTCCCACCTCTGGGGCTGCAGCTGCAGTGCTGTCTCCTCGACGCACAGCCACATCTGTGGAGCCCTTGCTGGGTTCTGGCTGGCAGTCTCCTGGGCCGGGAGAGCCTTGGACAGGGCTGTGTCCAGGGCTGCCGTGCCCCCAGTGCAGGTGTGCAGACAGTGTTGGTGAGGAGGGGGCCTGCTCACCCCTCACCACACAGGGGGACCTGCACGGCACCCCGCTGGCCCTCTGCCGCCGCCTCCGGCCCTCTCCAGCTTGGGGGACCCCAGGGCGCCCCCGACGAGGCCCACACAGGCAGTGAGACAGTGAGTCCGATGGCCCTGCCAAGTGGGAAGGCACCTTAAACAGGGGGGCAGATGAGGAGGACAGGTCACTTCCAGGATCCAGCCCCAAACACAGAGTCAGACACAGCCCTGGGAGGCAGCGAGGGAGAGAAGGGGCCGCGAGAGCCGGTAAAGCGGAAGCCCAGGCCCTGTAGCAGGGGCGCTTCCAGAAACCCCTGGGGCCACGTCTTCACCCCTCCCTGTATCCGCTGGAGTGACCCTTACTAAATGCCAGCCTCGTCTT